TAAATAAAATATCCAAAAACTTTTACCTCTAAATCATCTATTACATTATGCACGTCACCAACGAATTCATACCGCAACCATTACAAATACTTATTGTCAGATATTTAAATTATTTCCATGCACGTTTACTTCAACTAAAATGTATACCAAATTCCTACAAACATAAAATTCACAAAATAACTATCATTCATTAAAATATAATTAAATTCAAAAACATACTTAAAATATAAATGAGCACATACATTAAATTAATACATACATAAATACCCATTTCGAATTCACTTTAGTTACGGCCATGGGATCCAAAAATTCACGAACACTGCTTCACACAACACAGAATAAAGCCAATACAAAATTTCCAGATTTTTTTCCCGATTTCCCCCCCTTTTCCGATTAAAGAACCGTAATTCGTCCATTAATATCACATGACATATCCCATGATCTCTCATTTCCCTCACACAAAATAATGCGTAATCGGAACTGAGTACTGCTCACATTATTACCAAAGTGCCAGGTAGTAACCTTTATCGCCTTCAAAATGTCGCCAAACTACCAGTTACCATATTGTAAAGATCAACCAAAAAAACTTAATATTTATTTACTTTAATAAACATTTCTTTCAACGTAAGTTGTTTAAGTTGCTTCGTTTTATGTGATAACACTTTCTCTTTAATTCTATAAACAGACATAATTTCTTGTTCAGTTACAAAGTTCTGCTGTTCAAGACCTATAATTGCTGTGTCGAGAATACTGACTAATTTGTCAATCGAAATTTTTTCGTTTTCAATAACCTCTGTGTCACTTTCTTCACTATCGGAAGCGAATTATAATGACGAGGAATTTGATTTAAATCATATCAAAGACGGAGCACATCGAGATGAAATACTACATTTAGTAAGGAATTATAAGCCAAATAAAATAAAAAAATCTGCCCTAAAGATAAGGATAGTGCTGACAGATCAACATCCAATTCATAGCGCGCGGCGGCGTTTTCCCCTCCACCCCTGCGTAGAGCAGCGTGAAATTGATAAACAGATTTCAAAATGGTTAGAGAAACAAAGGATTATCCATTTTTTGCAGCAATTCCATTTTTTGTTTGATGGACATCGAAACATACTTTCACTTTGTAGATTCTTTGGGAGCTCCAGCACTGGAAATTCTATTTGACATAATCGAAAGTTCAAGCTCACTTTTATAAAATTGCTCTAACAGTCTTCAAAAAATAATAAGCCGGATCCAATTATTATATTTAGGAACAATGCAATCTGCAACATTAACTGAAATAGACAATTAGATAATTTTAGCTTATACCGTCCGTTATACATTAAACGCACATGCGTAAACGTATTATGCGCATGCGCACACGCATGTGCGCAGCCGCAAAGGTCTTGCACGCATGCATAAATGCCTATGCGCATGCATCAACATGACGCATGAGCAGAAAGTTTGTAACTTTGAGGTCCGGATTATGGGTGTCCGAATTAACGACTTTTGACTGTATGTGGAGATTTTCACTTAAAAATTCCAATTCTTAACTTCACTTAGGCACTAAATAAAATACCTCATTATGGAAAAACAATCATGTAAGCATAAATTTGTGAGATTAATAATTTGGCTCTGTAGCTGAGTATCTACTTGGCATACATCTCAAACCAAAACATTAGCCTATTATGCCTTATGCAAAGTCATTATTTATTACATTTTGCTTTCATCACTGCATGTTTATCAATACATGACAGCTTCAGTAATAACTCATGCAGTGATGTCTAAACTATTTTTTATATTAGTAATTAAATAACAAGAATATGGCAACCTTTTATGCTAACATTACACTTGGCGATGATTACAGATGTTTAAATATTCTAAGTAATGTTGACAAGGAAAATTCAACAAAAATTTCTTTTCATATGCTAAAAATAGATTTTGTTAATGAAACACATAGGCCAAAAGATTACATTTAGTGCTACTTAAATTAAGAATAACTGATATGTTTTTCACCATAAACCTAGAAGCGGCGGCGGAATATGCAGGCACCGGACGGCAGAATTTAGAGAAGATGAAATTAAGGGATGAGAAGTTTTTATGATTTAGAGAAAACACTTAGATCCAAAGTTTAGGCACGGTGAAAATTTAGAACTTAGGAAGGCGCTTTGTAGCAGCAGAATTTAGGACACATAGAGACTACACCAGGCGGTATCGAGAGCCGGCCCTAGATAAAGCCTTAAGTATAAGTGGGGAGTTTAGCATGTGCAAGAAATAAACGCAGGTATTGTAGATAATTAAACTTGAAATACAATTCAGGCTTAATTTAATACGCAATAGGAGCAAGACAAAATTTAGCGAAACAACTTGGCTTTCGTCACCAATCTTGTGATACACAGCCAATAATGTATAACGGACGGCATTAAGCTAGGCTAAAATTATCTTTACTGATTCTAAGGTATCTCAATTCATATAGCAGACTGCGCTGCTTCCTAATCTAATTTGATCCAGCTTATAATTTTTTGCAGACTGTTATTCTTACGGCAATTTTATAAAAGCAAGCTTGAACTTTCGACTATGTTGAAAAGAATTTCAAATTCTGGAGTTGCCAAAGGATCTATGAATCGAAACCATGTTTCAATGTCCATTAAGCAAAAAGTGAAATTGCTGCAAAAAATGGATAAAGATGCATAAATGGATAAAAATGCATATCTGTCTCAAAATTACGCGAGGACTATGGCATTGGAAAGTCCATTGTGTATGACACACGAAAAAAGAACTTTTTGAATTTTTTGTGGAAGCATCTTACACACCTTACATTGAAAGAAATGTTTAATAAAGTAAACAAATAAATATTAAGCTTTTTTTCTTTTCTTTTTTGTTTTGTTTTTTTTGTTTTGTAAATTTTGATACTCTTTATACCATAACTGTTCTTTATTTCATAAATTACGATTTCATATTTTTAATTGTATAATTTCTGCATCGAATCTAACTAGATTTAAATTGATGATCTATTATCCAGAAAAATCCCAAATCCGGAATCGCCAAGGTCCCAACCAGTCCGGATTTCGGACTTTGTACTGTATAAAGTTCTATAAATGTTTACACTAATTCAGAAGTCAAACAACAAAACACTAGATTAAGACAATTCAAATCAAATTCGTTGGCAAAGGCTATTCAATTCTCAATTAACCAAATGTCAACCAAATGTCTCAATTAAAAATTGAGACATTTGGTTATCTACTGGGAGCAGAGCTTAAACTGAGTTCTAGTACGACTCAGTTTTTGAGATAAATGATAATTTTAGCTGGAGTGCATTGGAGCCCTAAATAAAAGGACTCTAGCACTTCTCTTATGTAAATTAACCACAAGTTCAACAAACAAATTTTATTTTAATTATACATAAGTCCTAAAAATTTATTCTAATTTCTGAATGTAGGACTTTTCCCCCTTGGATAGAAGTTGAAAATTTCAAGCAAAGAAAAGCCTTCACTCACATGTCAAAGGTTATTCTTCAGGAAATGCAATCAACTTATGACAGCAGGTTAATTTTTTATTCCTGAAAGTGCTAGAAGTGGTCATGCACACGCTATGCTAGTGACTTTCAATGCAGATCCCCTATAGCCCTTTTGAAGGACATAACCAAATGCAGGGGAGCACTACTGTCATTTGTATAGAGGAGTTTTACATTTATTCTCACATTTGGATCACAAAAAGAATTGATATTGAATTAAAAAAAAAAAAAAAAAAAAAGAAGAAGAAGAAGAGAAGAAAGGAAAGGAAGGATTGAAAAGACGGAAATTCGTACTAATTTTAAATCAGCAAATGCAATTTTAGTTTATGTTAAGCATATTCACAGCTTCTTTACGTCAAGTTCTCATTTGCTTGAGTATGTCTAACAAGAAACCAAAAATGCAACTTTTTAGTCAATAACAACAAACAAAAAAGAAGAAAAAGGGAAAACAAAGGGAGGGGTGATAGCTATTCTATATTTTAAAATTATTATTACTATAACCGCTAATAATAATAGAAAGATTATCAATAACAAAGATTTCCGTAAAAAGAGTTTTAGAAATGCTATAGCAATAATGGGATACAAACATGATAATTAAGCTGATAACTAATCATTTTTTTTTTTTTAAAGCACAAAAATTAATCCACCAAATAACACATTTAAATACCAAATAAAGGATATACTGTAATAAACTAACCCCTTTCTCCAAAAATAAAATTAATAAATAATTGTGAAGGTTAAATTTTTAACAATTTATCATAACAGTCTGTAACAGTACAAAGTCTGTAATCCGGACGTCCGTAATCTGGAATGATCTATAGTCTGGACCTCAAAGCTACAAACTTTATGCGCATGCGTAAATGCATAATGCGTTTATGCATGTGTGTTTAATGTATAACAGACGATATAGGCTAGGCTAAAATTATCCAAGGCATTTCAGTTAATGTTGCAGATTGCGCTGTTCCTTAATCTTTCATTGGATCCGGCTTCTTATTTTTTGCAGACTGTTAGAACAATTTTATAAAAAATTAAGCTTGAACTTTTGATTATGTAAAAAAGAGTTTCCAATTCTGGAGCTGCCAAAGGATCTACAAAGTGAAAGCATGTTTCGATGTCCATTAAACAAAAAGTGGAATTGCTGCAAAAAATGGATAAAGGCCTATCCGTCTCAACATTATGCGCAAAGTATGGCATTGGAAAGTCCACTATATATGACACAAGAAAAAGGAACTTTTAAAATTTTTTGTGGAAGCATCTTATACAACTTACATTGAAAGAAATGTTTAATAAATAAATATTAAGCTTCTTTTGTAAATTTTGATACCCTTTAGATCATAATTGTTCTTTATTTCATAAATTATGATTTCATATTTTTTAATTGTATAACTTCTGCATGCCATCTTACCAGATTTAAATTGATGATCCGGAAAAAGCCCTAATTCGGAATCGCCAAAGTCCCGACGAGTCCGGATTATGGACTTTGTACTGTATATGTATACATCACCTTTTTACTGTATAAAATGTCATTTTCATAAGCACAAATGCCCCATCTTCTGACTTTCTAAAACAGGGAATAATTTATTTATTTACACCTTTTTATATTAAATACTCATAGTCATAATCTAAAATATAAGTCATAATCATAAGTCATAATCTGAAAGAATTTTAAAGCAAAAGAACAGAAAAAGAAATTATTACATATATTCTCATATCAAAAAAACAATGGAGAATTTCCGATATCGATAAAAATAGGAATTAGTCATAATTTTACTACTATACTCTTATGAATTTTTTTATCTATGTAAATCATTTTAGTGAAGTTACATTTAAAATTGTACAATTTTTTGTATAATGCAACATGAAATGCTTGAAAGAGACAAAGTTCTGCCAGAAAAAATCACAGGGGATAAGTCTATTTATCAGTAAATGGCCACCTCACTAAATTGGCGAGATACCACCAAGCTGGCAATGATTTTTACAAGTAATTTTTGTCATCAAATTTGGCTAAAAGTACCACATTTTGTTCTGGTCCCTTTATAAATATAATAAGTATTATAAATGAAAACTGTATTAGATCCTATATGTAATTGTATCCAGCCCTCATATGCCATCTTTTAATTTTGAGAATTGGAAGGTACTAGAGATTTCTCGGCAGCTGGAGAAAATTATATGAGAGCGGAGAGACAGTTTTTCGGTTGTTGAATTCTGAGAGAGTTTGGAGTATTCGGAGATCATCATAACAGCTTTGCCTGTTTTTTAGATGTGCTTTGTATTGTGCCGTGTTTTCGTTTTTGTAGATCCTTTGGGAGCTCCAGCATCGGAAATTCTATTTGACATAATCGAAAGTTCAAGCTTACTTTTATAAAATTGCTCTTACAGTCTGCAAAAAATAATAAGCCGGATCCAATTCGAAGATTAAGGAACAACACAATCATCAACATTAACTGAAATAGAAATTATATAATTTTAGCTTATACCGTCCGTTATACATTAAACGCGCAGCGAAAACGTATTCTGCGCTTGTGCACATGCAAATGTGCAGTCGTAAAGGTCTTACGCACACGCTTAAACGCCTATGCGCATGCGTCAACGCGGTGCATGCGCAGAAAGTTTTTAGCTTTGAGGTCCGGATTATAGATCATTCCGGATTATGGGTGTCCGAATTAACGACTTTTGACTGTACTTACATGTGACAAATTGTATAAAAAGTACTTACAATGAATTTAAAATATTTAGGGTACTATTCCGTTTTGAGAACCGTAAAAAATTTGCAGTGAAAATGTATGCGCAAAAGTGTCAAATCTAGCAAATGCGACAATTTAACAGCGCGCCAAATCTAGCGTACGCCCTGATTTCAGATTGCGTAAGTTTATATAGTTCTATATTTCTTAAGAACTTATATTAAATTGAAATACTAGTTTAATTTTTAAATCCTTTTTTGATGTCTTATGGATTTAACAATTTGGGAATTGTGCAAGGGAAGTCTGCAATAGAATTTTGGGCAAAGTGCAGAATCTCCCACTGCTTGACGCGTTTTTAAGAATTGCACATACTCGGTATCCATGTACACATCGACCTATTTTCACTCGAAAAAAAAATCCCAGAATTGCACAAAAATGGCACTACGCACACCCTTGACTTTATCTATGTACACATCGACCTATTTTCACTTAAAAAGTAAAAGAACATTGAAAAAAATCCAATTGTTTTTACCCTTGTAAAAAGTGGCAAACAAATAAGTGGTTGACTCTTCACTTTATAGAGAATTCTTTCAAAGAAAAAGCATCATTCATTATAGAAAATTATGTTTGAACAACCAACGAGACAGAGTCGTAGCTAGGGTTTTCAGCGCCCAGGGACAACTGAAGATTTCGCGCCCCCTACTGCTTGCTAAGGATGGAAAACATTTAATTCTAAAATGTCGTAACATCAGTTTGGCGCCCCTTGGATTCTGCGCCCGGGGACAGATGACCCCTCTTGCCCCTCTCTAGCTACGCCCCTGCAACGAGATGAAATTATGTTTTAGCGATAACTTCGGTAGCGAAATAACGATGAAGGAATCCTTTCAGTTATGTTTAGCAATTTTTATATAAATTATAATAATGATCTGAAATAGTTATTTACTCTTATGCTTCAATTCGGTCATGTTTAGCCTTTTTTATATAAATTTATAATAATAAAAAAGGGGATTATATGAAATTAACCTTTCATCTAAATTAAAACATCAATCTTAGATAGTTATTTACTATTATACTTCCTTTCTTGCATTATGGTTGCCGCAATTATTTTTGAAAGCACTGGCATCAACAATAGTTTGCCGATTTTTTACGGCCCTCAAAACCGAATAGTACCATATTTAGTCATGGTATCACGAGAGTCAGGCCGTTTCTGCTTTTTGCCACCCGTGCACTTTTATGGGCTACACCCCCGTTAGGAACGGCCCTGCTATCAGTGTTCAGTGATTTTACCCCTCGGCCACTGCTGACACAATTAAAGAATAGAAAAAACTATAGCATAATTTAAATCCAAAAAATTCACCACCAATAGTAAAAAAAAGTGAGAGAGGTTGTTGAGAATAAAAAGCCTGAAATTACTAGTGTGAATTCTTAACACCAATTATAGGGCTAGAGCAATAGAACTTTGTATCTATCTTTCTCAGTAAAATTAAAGAGAAAATATTAGCACAAAAACTGAAATGACTTTTAACACTTATGCTGAAAGACATGTTTAATAAAACAAAATAAACGTTGAATTTGAGCCTTTTTGGTAAGTTTTAGTTTCCATAAGGTTATAAAAATGCTTTAAACAAGCCAGCATTTAACATTTTTAATTTTATAATTTCTAAATGCCATTTTACAAGATTTAAATTAAATCTGAAATTTGAAACTGCTGATGTCCTGATGATTCTAGATCTTGGATTTTGTACTGTAACATCAAAAATAAATTTTGGCATTAAAATATTTTTTTTCAAGTTTTTATTCCCCCCCGGTATTATTGTTTTGGGTTTTCTTCCACAAAGAACCCATTGGTAACAGCAAAACAGAAGTCAAATTTAGTGTTTTAAACATGATATTTAAAGCACAGTGTGATATTAAGCATAGCATATATAAGACAATTTAGTTTGTTAAGCAAGATAATTAGTGCAATTAAATTCACAGTATGATATTAAGTATAGCATATATAAGACAATTTAGTTTCTTAAGCAAGATAATTAGTGCAATTAAATTCAGTTAGCAGAAAAGCATACTAAGCATATGCAATTTAAAATTAGCTAGTTAAACATGCTACTTAACACAAATTCCGATTAGTAGAAAAGCATGATGTTAAGCATATGAAAGTAAATGACAGCATTATTATTCATGTATATTTCTAATTAATTTGATTATAATAAAAAAAATTTAAAAACTTGTATACTTATTTCTAGCATTACTTCATTTCTTTTTTAGGGTTTTTATGGCCCTGAAAAAGGCCTCTCTTTTTCTTCTAAAACCTATGACATTAGGTAAATTGCCAGAGACGTATTACCCTAAAAGGAAAGGGTTTAAAATGAATGGATCTTACTATCATGATTAATTTCATGCCAAAATAGGTATTCAAGTATGTGATCAGATAGATTTTCTTTGTGAAGACCACTTTTTTTGCAATTTTACTTTCAGAGACTGCATTTTCTATTCTTTGGATTAGGTATTTGCGCCACTTGTAGGATTAACAAAATTTGTGTAGTAATTAACACTTTGATGGCCATAATACCCATGCCTGTCTAAGAATGACTAGATCTGCTATTCAGCAGCATCAGAATTTCTGCTGATTCTGCTGCTTGCAGGGAACATGTTTTCAATGAAGGCAATACTCTTTCTGAGACTCATTACTGCAGACAAGTGTACGTGTTTGACAACTTTCTTAACTGATAATTCTATCTATTCAGCATTAAAAAATTTTAAAAAGATAGCATCGGAATTATATAATTATAATGGGACTTATAATGAATAACTGAAGAATAAATTACATGTGCAAATGCTGGCAATCAGTGTGATGCTACAATATGTAAAATTACAAACAGTAATGTAAGGAACCAAAAACAATGTAAGGGAATGGTTATACCTTCGGTCATGTGAATCCGTTGGATTACCGGTTTTGAACTGTTACCACCATTGATGAAGGGGTTTACATTTATCGGGTTTTTTTTTTTTTTTGAGCTGCTTCCAATATTTTTACTATTATTCTAGAAAATATTACTAAAAATTCTGAAAACCAAATTCTATCCAGCATTCTTCTGAACAGAGTTGTAAGGGAATTAATTATAGATAACTTTTTTATACTATACTGTCAAATACAGAAACATCAATTCCCCCCTTTTTTTGTGGTCATAATTACATAAATTACCTGTGCAAATGCTGGCAATCAGTGTGATGCTACAATATGTAAAATTACAAACAGTAATGTAAGGAACCAAAAACAATGTAAGGGAATGGTTATACCTTCGGTCATGTGAATCCGTTGGATTACCGGTTTTGAACTGTTACCACCATTGATGAAGGGGTTTACATTTATCGTTTTTTTTTTTTTTTTTTGAGCTGCTTCAAATATTTTTACTATTATTCTAGAAAATATTACTAAAAATTCTGAAAACCAAATTCTATCCAGCATTCTTCTGAACAGAGTTGTAAGGGAATTAATTATAGATAACTTTTTTATACTATACTGTCAAATACAGAAACATCAATTCCCCCCTTTTTTTGTGGTCATAATTAATAATTTCACTAAATCATAAAATTCTATTAAAAATCCTGAACACTGAATTCCATCCTACATTCTTCTGGACAGTGTTGTAAGGGAATTAATTATATATATATAATATATGATACCTTGATATGCACACTATTTATTTATTATGAATTCGAAAAAACATACAGAATGCCCATTTGGTACAGAAATTAAAAACCCAAATTACGTCAGACAAAATACATAGTATATAATATATTATAGGTAGGTGATTTCTAAGCGAAAAACTTAACAAATATTGCCAATTTTGGAAATATACTTTCAAAAACTCCCTTCTGAACAGCATTTAATTGAATAATTTCCTTGCCACAAATAAAATACAGAAATTATTCTATGTATGAAACATTACACTCCTAAATAACAAATGTAACACATATACTTCTGGTACATTTAGTGGGCCAAATCAAACGCATTAAGACGCTGAAAATTAAACTGAATCGCAATAGGAAATAAATTTTCTAATGGTATATTATATATATATATATATTGTTTTTGTTTTTGTAACTGATATTATACCGAAATCAGAAAGCCATATAAATATACATCAAGAATTAGGGGAAGCAAAATAAACAGATTCATAAACTTCAATGATTTCAAATGTTCGCAAAAGAAATAATAAGGGGGAAAAAATCCATTACTTAATCTTTACGAAGTATGATAAGTCATTTTCATTAACATTACGGAATCAGCAATATTTAAAAATAATATGATTATAAAGACGCACTTCTCTTTACTTTTTAGAAGAATGTATCAGTTATTTACTATCAAAGTACATAACACCTTTCAATTCGACATCTGTAATTAAAATATGAATAAAAATAAAAACGACTATTTCTTAGATTAAATACGTTGAGTTGTGTACTGCCTACTCTTCTCTAAAATATACTTTACTTTTACTTTTTAGTTTGATAGTTTAGAACCATCAAGCGGCATTGCATTATTATGTAAAATATGTTTCTAAAACATACTTATTTTTTAAGGTAAAATTAGCTCTAATACCTATAATATGTCACGCAATAAAATATAAATTCTAGGGTAGTAAATTATTCGTGCTTGGCAATACTCGAATTCGGGAAAACGTTTTCTGACGTGACGAAACAAAACTCTGCGGGCAGAAGTAATTAGTTTAAATTGAGTATTTCTTCATTTTTTGAAATTTTGGGGTAAAGATGTCAGTTTCTATGTATACAGCTGTAGCACCTGTTAATATTGCTGTGATAAAATACTGTACGTATATAATAAGATTGGAATTTATCTTTTTTTTTTTTAGATAAACGTTATTCATGATAGCTGTGAAACCGAAACAACTTTTAACTTTTTAAATAAAATATTTTGCTTACCTAAATGTTAAGTTATACTTTTTTTTTTTTTAAGCAACGTGAATAATATGAATACTTTTTCTCAAACTTATATTACGTAGATGGATATTAATGTTTTTTCTTTCTGTCTATTTTTCTTCCCTTCAATTTAGGGGGTAAAAGGAACGAAGATTTAATTTTGCCTGTTAATGATTCTATCAGTGTGACTCTGTCAAAGAATATCGTAAGTTTATCAGCTCATTTGAATAATATATATTAATAAAGCTTAGAGATCAGATTTGTACTTGTATATTAGGATCAATCATTTGACAAATAATTGGCAAGCTTTGTTTGACTGAATCTGTATTAATAATTTAGGAGTATTTTAGATTCTTAAAGAAAATGCCAGTGCCTGCATGTTATCATTTTGACTGGTGTATTTACAGAGATCATTATATCCTTGTATAGTATCTTGTATAACCGATACTCATATTAAAGATTTGGAGGAAACACTGCATTAATAATTTTTTGCAGGAAGAAATGCAGGTACGCATTTGCATCATGTAGTATGTATTCGCAATGCAGTCAACATTTCTAAATAGGCCAATTCTCAGAGAAATCTAACTTGTCAATTATGAATTATTTAAAATATAAAAATCATATTTTTATAAGACAAACTAATCCTGCATTTTCTGAAAAATAAGACGCATGTATCATTCTGTGCTGTAGTTTTCTAAAATCTGTTAAGCTCTAGTAATTATGCATTTTTATAAATGAAACTGCAGAATGAGAGGAAAGAGTTAATCAAAATATGTATCATAATTACATCTGTGATACCAAATTGGTGGCCCATGAATTCATTCCAGTTATGTGTTTTTTGCAAATGCAGAGAAAAAATAAATGCACTCAGTTACTGATTTCTGCATTAAGAATAATCACTTTGTTAAACAATGCATTTCTGTGTGAACAGTTTTTTTTCCCCCCCAGTATTTAATAAGGAGGCCTGGTGGCGCAGTGGCTAGCTTATTGCGCAGCTGCACCACAGGTCCAGGGTTTGATTCCTGGGCTAGGTAAGGTCGACTGAGCTTTTCATCCCTCGATTTCCATCACTTGGGTCGATAAAATGAGTACCAAGTTCACTTGGGGACTAAACACTGGGGGTCCTGTGACCAAGCTGACCACATGTTCAGAGCATATGCTTACGTACCCTGGGGCCCACGGGCAAGAAAGCAGATTTCGGGCACTACAGGCCTTGGCCCATTAGGCCTGTTATGCCATTGAGTTAAGTTTAAATGTAAATAAGAAAAGAACCCGATTAACTGATGAACATCTGCAAACTGTGTTGAAAATAGTTTCCAGTAATTTTTCATTTAAGTCTTACAAACTTTATGCTGTTAAAAGAATCCACTGTGGCTAATCTTTAGAATATGGTAACAGGTAGTTTGGCGACATTTTGGTAAGGCAATAAAAGTTACTAGCTAGGACTTTAGTAGTGTACATGGATAAAGTCAAGAGTGTGCGCAATGCCATTTTTGTGCAATTATAGGATGTTTTTTTAAGTGAAAATAGGTCGACGTGTACATGGATGATACCGTGTATGTGCAATTCTTATAAACGCACCAAGCAGTTTGTGATTCAGCACTTTTCTTCCAATTTTGCACGTAATCTTCGTAATGATTAAGCATTTTTGTTGCATAAAAGTTCTAGTATAAGCATAATTCTGTTAGCAGATTGTTGGAAAAAATGTTGAGTAAAAAAAAAAAAAAGTGCTTTTACTTCGTGAAAACAAAATGGCGTCCAAAACAAAGCTAGCAGGTTGCTGTAGCAGGGTTGGTTGCCAAATTTTTGCCAAAAAATCGCCAAGTTACCATAAGCCAAAGATTAACCTCGACTGTTATAATAGAATTAACAGAAAAATTAATCAAAATCCACTTAAAAGTTATGTATACATATAAATTACTGACAAAATAGTTAAGAAATTTAGACCCAAATCCAGAAACACATGAAAGAAATGAAATTTAATACTAGTAAAATCTCAGAATTTCTCAATAAAAATGTAGAAAAAAAGAAAAAAAAAAAAAAAAAAAAATCGGTGTTTTTAAACCAGAAGAAATTCCAAGAACAGAAATATAAAAAAGTACATAAAATAGGAAAAGGAATAAAATCAAATCTGATTCAACATTATCAAGAAGCGATAGATCAGATTCAGTTGAATTCATCTTCCCTGGAAAACCTCTGTGTTTCTATTCATCTAAAATATGAACCATCTTAAATTATTTAATTATAATAGTTCATCCGAGAATTCTGAATGCCTCCTCGACACATCAGCCGCCCTTTCATAAGCAATAAAAATATATAAAACAAATTTAAGTTAAATAAATTCAGTGCTTAATGAAGCAAAAGTAAAATATATATATTTTACTAATATTAAAATTCAAATTAAAGCATTTTAATTAAATTATTACATTTTTATTGGGAAATTTTGGTATTTTACTGGTTTTAAATTTCGTTTCTTTCATTATACAACGAATGCAAACTGGTGCAACTTTCTTTTTTTAAAAAAAGTTTTCCAAACTATCGCTATTGAATATCAGTCATTAAACATTGTCAAAGGAGAACACACTTCAATTAAAAATACAAATTTTAATTACTGAATAAGGATTACATATTACATAAAAAAATTAAACACATTTATCCAAAAATCACACTATACAAATTTTTTGCTTTCTTTTTCCCTGCACACAGTTATATGCTTTTTTGGTAAAAGTATATTTTAGGGTATCCCTTGGCGAAACTTGGCAGTACATGGATACCAAGTTTGTGCAGTTCTTTGACTTGGTATTTTGGCTTGCGTAGCAATGATTTTTGGGGCAAAAATCGCTGCTACACAAAGCCAAAAGGTACTATTCGGTTTTGAGGGCCGTAAAAAATCGCCAAACTATTGTTGATGCCAGTGTTGCCAAAAGCAATTGCGGCAACCCTAACGCAAGAAAGGCAAATATGCAAAATATGACTCTGTCTGGTTATCAGGACTAGAGTTGTCATCCAATGTTTGTTTTTAAAATTATTACAATATTTACTTTTTTTAAGAAAGTAAAAGAATGCCTTTTTAAATTTGGCTATGAGAATACAAATTCTAAAGATGCCACGATCATTTGTGTTTTCACTATTATTGTATTTACTATTGATATGAAAATTTGGGACTTACCTATTGATGAAACACCTTTCATACAATTTTTTCAGGATCAGGGAATTATTCACTCTGAAAGAAAGTGCATGAAAAACAATACAGACAAAAGTCGTTAATTCGGACACCCATAATCAGGAATAATCTATAATCCGGACCTCAAAGCTAAAAACTTTCTGCGCATGCGCTGCGTTGACACATGTGCATAGGCGTTTATGCATGCACGTGAGACCTTTACGACTGTGCATAGGCGTGTGCGTGTTTAATGTATAACGGACGGTATAAGCTAAAATTATCTAATTATCTATTTCAGTTAATGTTGATGATTGCGTTGCTCCTTAATCTTCGAATTGGATGCGGCTTATTATTTTTTGCAGACTGTAAGAGCAATTTTATAAAAGTAAACTTGAACTTTCGATTATGTCAAATAGAATTTCCGATGCTGGAGCTCCCAAAGGATCTACAAAACGAAAGTATGTTTCGATGTCCGTCAAACAAAAAGTGGAATTGCTGCAAAAAATGGATAAAGACATGAAGAAGATGACGGAGAGGTTAGTGAAAACGAAAAAATTTCGATTGACAAGTTAGTGGGTATTCTCGGCACAGCAATTAACAGGACTTGAACAGCGGAACTTTGTAACTGAACAAGAAATTATGTCTGTTTATAGAATTAATGAGAAAGTATTATCACATAAAATGAAACAACTTACATTGAAAGAAATGTTTAATAAAGTAAACTAATAAATATTAAGTTTTTTTTTTTTTTTTTGATACCCTTTAGATCATAGTTGTTCTTTATTTCCTAAATTACGGTTTCATATTTTTAATTTTAGAATTTCTGCATGCCATCTTACGAGATTTAAACTGATGATCTATAATCCGGAATCGCCGAAGTCCCGGCGAGTCCGGATTAACGACTTTTGACTGTAATAGAACTCTAATTTGAAGGAAGCACCAAAATCGAGATGTAAAGATATGGCACAATGAAAAAAGTGGATTTCGTTCTTGAGATTGGTTTGACAGATTAAGAATGAATTTCTTAATGTCAGCTTTTTTCATTTATGTATGGTGTTTAGAATTAACTTTCATTGATTTTTGTTAATATCAACTTGATATGAATCATTGCACTGTTGTTGATTGGAACAGTATATAAGAGAAGTCAATAACCATGCATTAATGTCTAGACTGTCAGTTAAAATAGTAATATTGTCAAGTTAATGGAAGTCTGTTTTCATGTCAAAACAATGTTGGTCCTCTTGCCCCAGTGGGTGTATGGTGTGATTTGCGGAGAGAAAAGAAAAAAAGTTTTTTTTTAGTTTCTGCGCCTCACTGCTGTGCTAGAACTTTGCTTAAACTTATTGAAGGAAATGTTACTGTTGGCATGATAATATGCGAAGTGTGTTTTTAAATAAGGGTCATTTGAAAATAAAAACCAAATGAAAGAAAATTTTCAAAACCCAGATTTATTTTCAGATTCTGCATACGTTTCTCTATTTTTGAATTACATATGTTTCTCTATTATTCTAGTTGCCAAGTTTGTTTAAACATTTTTTATATCTTAGAACTAGATTTTGAATACCCTCTTCATAGAAACTTGCTACCTGCTTGGATGACTAAGAGGTCACAGCTGTTTTCACGTCTTCCTCATCATTGTAGTTGTTGCCGCCAAGATGATGTTTGAGTTCGTAAAAAAGATTAATATTGCTTAGTGCAAGGTCTGAGCTGTAGGGAATGGTCCAAAACATCCTATCCATAAGAGTCTCCAATAAAGCTCGGGTCTGAGCTGTGGTGTGAGGCCTTGCTTTGTCATGGAGTAGCAAAATTCCCTTTGTCAGCTTGCGCCGTCTTTTGCTTTGAATTGCTCTGCGTAGTTCTCATGGGGGTTTGACCGTAGCTACTGCATTTATGGTGGTTTCTGCATTGCATGAAGTTGACCAACAGAAGACCATGCCTATCCCAAAAGACGTATGCCATGATCTCGTGCTGGGACAGAGTCTGTTTGGCCTTGACCCTTACAGGAGAGTGTGTGTGTCTACACTGTATGCTCTCTTGCTTCCATTCATGCATGACATGTGAAACCCATGTTTTGTCTCCCGTTTCGATCCGACTCAACATGGCTTCACCTTCTTTATTATAACAAGTCAAAAAATCCAGTGAACACTCAAATCTTTTGTTTTTGTGGTGCTCCGTTAGGAGTTTAGGGACGCAGCGGGAGCACAGTTTCTTAAGCCTTAACTTTCAGAAACAATCTTGTACAGCACTGACCTAGACACTTCAGGAAATTCATTTGAAAGAGTGCTTATGGTGAAACGTATGTTCTCAAGAATTTTCACTTCAACTGAAGCTACCATAATGTCTGTGATCACAGACGGGTGACCGGAGTAGGTCTCATCATAGATGTTGTTACGGCCAGCTTTGAAGTCTGTTACTCACTTATGCACTTTGCCTTCACTCAGGGCAGTAGCTCCATAAACTTCACAAATCTGCTCGTGAATGTCTGCAGCAGACGAGGTTCTTGCTGACAGAAAATATATCGCTGACTATACCTCGCATGGGGCGGACATTTCGATAATCATGAATGTTATTCATGATTGTTGCAGCGCACATGCCACCAATTAGTGTATACAACAAAACGGCCCTTGCTGAAAAAACATGCTACATGCTTAGACTGTAGGAAAGGGTGTAACATTTAAGAATAAAAAGAGGCTAGATTTGAACATTTCTGCATTAACCAAAAATATGATTTTTATTGGCCCCAATACTGATTGTCATATGCAAATCATTGAGAGGTTATAGGGCAGTGTGAAATCACGAAATAACTTCAGTGTGGTACTGACAATAACTAATTAGATTCTTCTTTAATTAAGTTTATGTTATGGCAGCAACATTCTAAAACGTAAATGTTTCCACCCATTTTAAATGTCAAGAGTTTCATGCACCCTTGTTAATCTTATTTCGCAAACCGATTTTTTATTTTTTTCTGATTTCTTTGGCGGTTTAATTTACCAAAAGAATTTCTAATTTTATGAGTATCTGTTATGTTATTTTTTCCCTTATATTTTTCTTTAACCTAATTGTGTTGTAAATATTTTAGTGATTATTTTTAATGCTTCGAATTTTTTGAAAAATGTTCATCTTTTAGCAATATCTGACTATAATCCTTATATCAAAACAGTACTCAAAATACTGTATTTCTACAGACATTTTATTACAGTTTCTTTCATTGCTGGCAAATTCCACAAGCACGCATTTTAAAATGGAATTTAAAAAATATCACAATTTGTCTGTGAAAAACCATTGGAACTTGGAATATAATGAAAGTAAATTCATACAAAAATAGCAGTGTTGCTTGGCTGAAAGATTGACTGCATGGTTATCTGAAGATTGGTTATGCAATGGCAGCATGTTCTCAAAATATTTGAACTTTAATATTGGAATATTAAAGTGGGGTTGTAATAATATGTAAGTACTGGTTAGGTTAATTGAATATGGCAAAGCACATGAGGACTATCTGCCTAAGGGAATTGAATGAAGAATATCTGTCTCATATTCATTCTACACGTGGGAAAAACAACAAAGTTTTAAAAACTACAATGTACATACTAAATACAAGCCTGTTTCTATTAGAAATCTCTCTGTGAAAGTATCCTGCTAATACAACAAGTATATCTTGGTAAATACAAAAAATTTTCTTCTTAAATTTTGTAAAAATATGAATTATTTTTTTCATTTATGATTATTTTTTAAAAATTCTAATTTAACAGATGAGTGCCAAAACAACAGTAGCCTGTTCTGAACATTTTAAAAGTGACAAAATATGGTTGAATGGGAAGTAAGTATAAATCTGACTCTCATTTATAATCATAAATAATTAAATGTAACTTATATAAATGCACATAAAGTCAAAAAAAAAAAAAAAAAAGGTGGGAGGGACAGCTCTATATCTCCCATTCTACTGGGCTTATTGACGAAATTCAACTTGCACTTTTCATGCCCTGAAAGTGCAACTTAGGATATTTATTGGATTTATATATGACATCGTTCTAATGCAGATATTTTAACACAAATTTTGACACTTTTTCTATTTTTGCAGATATTTTGGCACTTTTTTAAATGACATACCAATTTCATATTTTGATCCTATACCTCAAATTATATAAAGTCTCATAAAAAGTGTTTGAGTATTTTTTAAAAAATTAGATCTCAATATTTTAGCTCCTTAATGTTAATTGAATTTGGTATATATTTTTAATATCTCCTTTTTTATGAACCTTATTTGAGTCCTTCTTTCATTATTCAAAATTTAGGTTCAATCCAAGTCAAATTTGCACATTTTTTTTATGATTTATTTATTAAATTTGTATTTTTAAATAATTTTTATAAAATTTTTGAAAACAAATTTGAAGCCTATAAAATTTTTATCATCGTATTTCTAGGCTTACCTTAAAAAAATTAGTTTTGCATTCAAAATTTCCCAAGATATATGTAAATTTATATATTGGCACATTTTAAAATTTGGCATATTTTTCATAAGTGATAATAATGCCAAATAAGGTTTAATTAACTTTGTTACAATCTTCAAAAAATTGCAACCATTATTTTGAACCTTAAATTTCCAAATAAACTTTTATTGGGGATTATTAATGGGGAATTTCTTTATTTCATTTTTATTAAAAACACCTAATAAATATTTATAAAATTTGCATGAAAAGTTCATTTTTATAATATAAATAAAAAATTTTAAGTTTTTATCTTTTATAAGAGTGAATTTTTACCTTTTCCGTTTTATCGTCTGCTGTTTTCATTTTATATGCAATGAAATTTTGTCTGTTGATTAATTGTGCATCATATAGCCATTCAGTACTTCTTAGTAAGTCAAACTATGCATTAAAAATTTAAAACATGCTGTCTTCTACTACAGAAATATTTAACAATAACAATATAGAATATAAGATTTTTATCTTCGTTTGGTACTCTTCTGTTATCAGGACCGGATAAAGAAATGTATGTATGTATGTGTTCATGTATGCATGTATATATATGTAAGTACGAATGTATGTGTGTGTATACATATACACATGTATGCACGTACATACACACATGCGTACATTCATACATTTCTGAATCCAGTCCTGATAACAGAACAGTATCCTTGATTTTTTTGTGTAGTAAGGGCAATAAATAAAAGTGATTTTAAAGATGTTTTCCAAAGATATTTCATAGCCTTCAGTAAATTTCGTAAACTGTTGTTTACATTGGAAAGGTTCCCTAATTCTAATAAGAGAAGATCTCTTTTTTTTTTTTTTTTTTTTTTCCCTCCCGAAAGCAAAATGTATTTTTATATACATGTAGGATTTAGAATAAACACTTTTTTAAAAGTCATAATGCAATTTGTGAAGACCTGAACTCTATTCAACAGTATTCCTCCCGAATGGATGACTACGCTAAGCTTTGGTGAATTGCTCATTTTCTTATTTTAGAATCTGCACTTGGAAATCGTGCTTAAATTAGGTTGGTTGGTTATTTAAATATGGACAGGCCATGGAGGCTATCTCACCTACAGGGAAGGACTTTTCGGAGGAAAAGTGGCTTGTATTGATGTTGCACATGGTGAAAATCATGAATACCATGTAGCCAGCTTGTTCAGCTGGCTTGGTTTCCAGGCTGGAATCTCTACAATCTTTGAATTACTCAGCCGCTAGTGGGTTCACTTAAATTAAGATCAGGTTATTAGATTTGTAAAATATATCATGTTAATTAAACCTTTATTATAATTTAAGTCTTGTAATATTGTAACTTCCTTTCTCTGTATCTCGCTAGAATGCAAATTAGCTTTGTTTATATTTAAGTTGAGAATTTAAGAATCTTTAGTTGTGAGAGCTTCTGGCAATTTGAGTACTTTGAGCTAGCTTTGTTTAAAAATGGTATTCCGGCTGTAATATTTCGCTAGCCAATGCTTTGAATGTGCACTGATAATATATGAGGTATCTTATCCTATTTCATTTGTAGTTTTAGACTATGTTATCAACATTTGAAATGTCCACAAATTGTAGAAATTTCATCAGTAGCACAAGTTGGGCCTTTATGTGTTCTGAGAGAAAAATAAAAAGGTTATTTAAACCTTCTTTTCTGTATTTTGGGAATTCAAGACATAGTGATAACTCGCTATCTATTTAGTGGAGTTAGTAGCCTTATATATTTTAATTTACTATTTGATTTGCAAATATTTAAAATAATATTGTTGTGTGCGTACGGGTTCTTTACGAAATAAATGCACAAGTCCGATGAAAAATTAACAAAATTTTATTATTATCACAACAAATATGCTTAAATTTCCTAAAATATTCATGCAGTATTACAATATCTCACAGTAGTTATCTTTTAACCACTCAAACATTCAAGAGAAATTAATTCAAAACAGCTAAAAAGAGAGCTAATCCGCGAATTTGCTACAGTCAACAAGAGCAATTTTCTAAACAAACTCTTAAAACAACAACAAGCTAACTAAAATAACAACGAACTGTGAGGTTTTCCTCCTTTTATAAGATTTTAAATCGCGCGTGAGAATTTTCTGAAACTTTCTCGAAATTAAAAAGAGATACTTATTTAATGTTAAATGCACGCTCTCTTGTATTTTCAACTTTTCGGCTTAGGTTTCCTTTAATATTCGTCACGCGCTGCATTGCGCAGGGAATAAAACAATTTATAAATTAACTAACATTAGCTATTTAAATACCAAATCCATAACAATATTATATTTTCAGGCATAAACATCAGAGTTTTGTTAATGCCATTAGTTTTTAAACTACCAAGCCATTATGCAAATGAATTTTTAGCTACATTTACTATTATTGTAGTCACTTGGTTTTCTTGGAATCTAAGTTAAAGATGGGATAATTTTTTTTTTCCTGTATTATTCATCATGGAATGATTAAACAGGTATTAAGTGATATTAGGTTTATCTTACAAGCTGAGGTGTGAAAACAATGCTGAATTTTTAATGTTTTGTTAAATAGCCGAGAAATCGAGCAGACAATTTTTAATCACATCTGTTGTATTGCATGATAATCCATCTTCCTACTGGTTAATAACCAATTTGTAAAACTGCTGTGTCCTGAAAATAAGTATTTGTACACAGGGCCGGATTTAGACTTGATAAGGCTCTAAGCTATTTGAGATATGGGTCTTTATAGCTTTATAAGTCAAGGTATGATGTCACAATCAAATCTGATTTTCAAATACCTAGAGGATTTTCTTTGGGGGGAGGGTAGAAAGCGGGGGCCCTAAGCTATAGTTTGTGAAGCTTATACGTAAATCCCTTATGTTCCTTAGTCATCCCCTATGTTCTGTATTTTTGTCTCCCTGCAATTAGTTTTGCTTCACAAAACTCAAGTGTCCTTTCAAAGGAAAGTTTTTCCTGTCGTGGAAGAGAATGTGATATTCTACTCCATGCCAAAAACAGACTGCTACAAACCATCTAATTAATTACCTGTCATATTTGTATTAAGATAAGAAGTTGCGTTAGCATAAATTCAGCAACCAGGGTTTGTACTGTCTTTACATATCGTTATTTTTTTTTTAATTGTAATCGATTTTTGGCTCTTAAAAGTTCTTAATTTTAATTATCTGAAATTTCTGTCGGTTTTTACGACTGCCATTTTTAGTGGAAATTAGCATTTTGGAAGAATAGTTATGGGCGATTCATTGATAAATATAGTTATCTTTTGAATACTTGTTCATATTTCGAATATATATGGTGGGATACTCGAGTTTCTGGGCAAGAAGTGAGACATTTCAAAGTTATTTCATTTTTTTTTTTTAATGAAAGTGGCATTACTTTTCCTTTTGGTGAATCATAATACAATATTTTGAATCTGAAAAATAAAAATGTTAATTAATGCTATATAAGCATAATTTAGGAAATAATTCTTAGCAAAATCAAAATAGCTATGTAATTAATTAAAAATACCTTCTTTTTAATTTTTTCATGGTAAGCGCTTTTCCCATGTAATTGTCTCAGAATGTTCAAAATCATCAGAATATGCATCAGTTTTCTCTATAAAATTAATTTTACACTTTCCCCCCCTAAAATATTTACCTTTATTGCTTTTACAGAATTAGTAGGGGTAATTTTTCTTTAGGATTTTAGACATTACAACTTAGAAAAGATTTGAAAGCAAGATTCATAGACCCATGATTCTAGAAGATTCCAGAAAAATGTGACAAAATGAAAATGTCATCCTAGTATTAGCACATAATGGATGTATTTTGCGGAAAGTTTGTGATGAATTTCTCACTTTTTGGAGAAGTTCTGGGAGAATAATGAAAACATAATACAGTCAAAAGTCGTTAATCCGGACTCGTCGGGACTTCGGCAATTCCGGATTATAGATCATCAGTTTAAATCGCGTAAGATAGCATGCAGAAATTCTAAAATTAAAAATATGAAACCGTAATTTATGAAATAAAGAACAATTATGATCTAAAGGGTATCAAAATTTACAAAAAAAAGCTTAATATTTATTTGTTTACTTTTTTAAACATTTCTTTCAATGTAAGTTGTTTAAGTTGCTTCGTTTTATGTGATAATACTTTCTCTTTAATTCTATAAACAGACATAATTTTTTGTTCACTTACAAAGTTCCGCTGTTCAAGTCCCGTTAATTGCTGTGCCGAGAATACCGACTAACTTGTCAATCGAAATTTTTTCGTTTTCACTAACCTCTCTTCTGTCACATTCTTCATGTCATTATCCATTTTTTGCAGCAATTCCACTTTTTGTTTGATGGACATCGAAACATACTTTCGTTTTGTACGATCCTTTGGGAGCTCCAGAATCAAAAATTCTATTTGACATAATCAAAAGTTCAAGTTTACTTTTTTAGTGTTGCTCTTACAGTCTGCAAAAAATAATAAGCCGGATCCAATTCGAAAATTGAGGAACAACACAATCATCAACATTAACTGAAATAGATAATTAGATAATTTTAGCTTACACCGTCTGTTATACATAAAACGCGCACACGCAAATGCGAAGTCGTAAGAGGTCTTACACGCACGCGTAAACGCCTATGCGCATGTGTCAACGCGGAGCATGCGCAGAAAGTTTTTAGCTTTGAGGTCCGGATTATAGATTATTCCGAATTATGGGTGTCCGAATTAACGACTTTTGACTGTATTTGAATGTTTTATTTTTCATAGTAGAAACTTTTTTGTTGACATGTGTATCTGTCATTTATATTCTCTACTTTTCACTAAACACAAACATGGAAAATATTAAAAAGGCAGCCAAAAAGCCTAGCTAGCCCTAACCTAGTACGATATTTGTGTTGAGCTAAAGAGAAAAAAAATTTTCAAGCAACGTGGTGAGAAAATGTCACAAAATAAAGCAATTTCACCAGCATCGGTATGCTGTGTTTTGACAGAAACTTTGTTGTAGGAAAAGGCTTGGTTCTAGTTGATCTCTAATTGCTGGATGTAACATTATTGAAATGAAGATTTGATGATGAAGGATTTCCATCTGAAATAATGGCAAATGATAAGGCCAGCATCGAATTCGTTGTGAATTCAGTGGAGAAGTCCATTCTCCTTGCAACCTCAAAAATTTCAATATGCTCAACCACTGGTGAAATAAATGTAGATCTCTGCCTAGGATTATTAAGGAATTATTACAAAAGATAGAGTTTCATGTGAAAAAAAAGTTAACTGCTGCATAATGAGAGTGGTTGCAAGAATTGGCACAAATTTGCATAAAAAATATACCTAACTTCCTTAGAAGTGGAACATGAATTTTGAAGGACATGGGCACATGAGGAAGTTATGACAAGTCTCCTACCTAGTTCAAGCCGGGAACCTAGTTACCTCACCAACCATAAAATCCTCAAATTTAAAACTCTTCCGCAAACTGAAGCAGCCTCTGTGTGGATATGGTTTTTCTCTTTCAAATAGGTTTTTTCAGCAGTTACCCAAGCTATTCAAGGACTGAATAAAAGTGATACTCTACAAGAAGTAAGCAAACCTTCGAAGACATTGGATCGCGATTGTTGTGAAGCAAAAGGAATTACTATACATAAGCAGAAACTGCGTGACATATACACTGGTGTGCAAAAATTAAGGACGAAGTCAAAAAATTGGCATATCAGCTGAACGAAGAGGCAGAGCGGACAGAAAGACCAATCAGGAGATTAAGTAAGGTGATGTACGGTAGCACATGCGCAGATATGCAGGTAGCCATAATGGGGGAGTGTCTGAGTAGTATAAAGCATGTTGTCGGTGTAAGATCAGTATTTCTGGCAAAGAGAATTGCACACCGTATAGCAGTTAAAATCACACCGAGTTGCTGCCTCAGCGAGAAATGGTGAATAATCAATCTGTTAGACAACATCTGGATGCTTTTACCCGAGGTCGAATCATTGGGAAGTTGAAGGAAGGCCGCAGTGTGACAAGTGTGGCTGCAGAGTTCGGAATTGCTCACAGCATCGTTTGACGACTTTGGAGACAATTTCAAACTACAGGAACAGCTATCCGGAGGTTTAGTAGTGGTCGTCCACGAGGAACCACACCCGCAGATGACCGGTATATTGCCTTACAGGCGGCAGACAGCGGGAGAAATCGCTAGACACACGACACAGGCGACTGGACGACCGATATCGTGTTTTACCGTGGCCAGAAGACTGCACGGTGGTGGTCTGTTTGCACGACACCCTGTATGGCGTGTACCTCTAACGCCTGCCCATCGGAGAAGGCGTTCTCTGTGTTGCGGGGAACACTGGAATTGGAGAGACAATGAATGGGGACGTGTACTCTTTACAGATGAGAGCAGATTCAGTCTGAGTAGCGATTCTCATCGCATACTCATCTGGAGAGAGTGGGGAAGCCGCAATCATCCCTCGAACATCATTGAAAGGGACAGGTATGGAGGTGGCGGTGTTCTCGTTTGGGGAGGCATCATGCTTGGTAGTTGTACAGACCTTCACATCTTCGATGGAGGTTCAGTCAACGGGACCCGTTATTGTAACGAGATTCTTCTTCCTTCCATATGTGCGTCTTTTAGGGGCGCTATGGGGTCCGCAGTTCCTTTTCATGGACGACCAATGCACCATGTCATCGCACAGTAGCTGCCGAACAGCTCTTAGAGGGTGAGGATATTGAACGTATGGATTGGCCGGCACGATCTCCGGATCTCAGTCCCATCGAGCATGTGTGGGATTTTCTAGGCAGACGCTTGGCAGCTCGTACCTTACCACCAGTAACGATTCCGGAGCTTCGATTGGTGCTGCAAGACGAATGGGCAACAATGCCTCAACAACTCATTGACACCCTCATTCTCAGCATGGGCAGATGCTGTGAAACCTGCCTAGCAGTCAGGGGCGATCATATTCCCTATTAAAGACCGGATGTTTCTTGCTGGACACCCATCACAGGGATGTTTTGGCTTTCAGTTGCATTACGCTTCATGCTACTTTTTCAATAAAGCTTCTTTTTATCCCTCTGATTTCTCTAAGTGTTGCTTACATTACTCATGTTCTTACGTATTGGGGATCTTACGGTATTAAATGTGTTGATTTGGAAAGCTTTTGTATAAAGTTATATTGAAAAAACTGTCTCGTCCTTAATTTTTGCACACCAGTGTAGTTAAAGTGAGAGAAAAAAGCAGAGAGCATTACTTTTTAAGATACCTTCACATTTGTATATATATATATATGTAATATTAAAATTCCATAGTCAAAAATACACTTAAAACTCTAACTGTATGTTCTTTTCATTTTTAATGGCGATGGTCTCTTATTTGAAAGTACGTGAAATTAAATCCACAGCCCCGTAGTCAAGTTGTTTTTCCCACCTTTTCTACACATACAGTTATAGAATGTTCTGGAGATATTTAAAGCGAACTAGAATGGCTGACGAGGCTGACATCATTTCTTGGAAGCTCCGCTTTTCCACAGGCTATAAAAGGACTCACAAAGGAATATCGGGGGCTTTTCTTTAATGTAATGATGCAGTAAACTTCATACAAAAAGTTATTAGTAGTTCTTTTTTATTTACTCCAGAGATCTGATTTTTGTAATTGTTCTCCTGAATAATAATAAATGGATCCTGTTTTTTAAACTTATCGTCTGATACTTTGAGCTTCGACTACGTCTATGATTCTTCACCAATCTATTTATTCCGGACAAAAGCTGGTACATCATATATATATATATATATGTTTTTATGTGTGTGTGTGTTACTTCTATGGCCATTGTTTGCTTTAAAAGCATTGTAGCCATGATAGCAGATGCCACTTTATTTTATTTTATTACTGTGATGATAAACATGCAGCGGACAGTTTGAAATTGATTTAATGATTATATACATAATATAATTTAAGAAATTAAATTTGCATTATAAAGAAATATGTCATTGTACGACTTCTGAACTCGCATACCCTTGTTCTGCATATTAAGAGCTCATTTACTTATCTACAGCTTAAAAGTTCCTATGAAAAAAAAAGGAAATTGACTACCTGAAAAGCTATTGGAAGAAAAAAGTAAAACCTTTTATATTTTTAAATAGCTTCTATTTTAATAGCTGTAAACTAACAAATATATTTTCAGCCTCTGGGATCTTTAGAAAGAAATGTCTGATATTACATAATATTACAATTATATATTATAAATAAAATATGGATTATATTTTCTTTTCAGAGAGGAAGATACAACAAAGCCTCGTCTTCAGAAATGCATTGAGCAAAGTAAGTACAGACATCATTGAAATTATTTGGGTTTTGATTTATATTAATTTAACTTCTGTGTTTTCTGTTGGGTAGGTTTGTGCCTTAAATTGTCACTGTAAGTAATTCAATATCAATTTTATTTAGGTTGTGTAATTATTTGTTCCCTAGATTAAGTATTTGTAAATGGGAAGTTACTTATAAATGCTTTGTGATTTATTCTAGTGAAGAAATGTTCAAGAAATAAAAAATATTTAAAATGGCATTTACACATTTGCTCCAAGAATAACTTCCCCACTGCTGCAGGCTTAGCTTCTTCAGCTGCTGGATTTGCATGTTTAGGTATATGATTTTAAACTTATTTTATGTATAAGCTAGTTACATTAGAAATTTTAAAAAAAAATTTTAGTGTATACATAAGAACGCTTAATAATATCCATGTCTTTATTGCTCTTTATTTCATAAATTACGGTTTCATGTTTTTAAATTTATAATTTCTGCATGCCATCTTACCAGATATTCTCATTTTTTATATTTTTCAATAATATTATAAAATATTGTTGAGTGAATAACTTAAACTAATGTTCCCAAACTTTTTCAAGTTGCGGCCCTTTTTTCAATTAAAATTTTTCCATGGTGCTCTACCTCAAGTAAAAGTATGACTAATGATAAGTAAGAGATAGAAATAAATTAAACTCATGTACCTTCATTTAACTTTTTTTTTACTTTATTAAATTAAATTAATAATCAATGTGATGGTTGAGCCTGGAAATTACTGCAATTTTTTTTTCAAATTGTGGAATTAAACTCAACTCACGGCTAACCTCATTTCCTTTTCCACATTGATTTTTGCTCTATACTTGTTTTTTAATACAGTGGCTGTAGAAAATCCAGTTTTACATAAATATAGCGATAAAAATGGAATTAAAACCTCTGAGCCTTAGAGCACTTAGAAGGGGATATTCATCTTTTATTGAAATTCAAATTTCTGCCAAATTTGTTTTCAAACTGTTGTCACAAGATAACTCTACAAGATTCTGTTCTTCCTCAGATGTAAATTTAAATGGAGCACTAGTATTAAATGGATCTTGAATCCATGCAAAGCTGTTGCAGTGGATTGGTTCTTCAGTTGTTCATAAACCTTAAACACCACAAGTTATTTCACAAACCAGTTAATTAGCTGTGATAAGTGCCCTTTAATTGCTAAGAAGTGAGTTCACAAGAGAGATAATGGACTGCAATGTTCCTTATTAACAACACTTCTATATGGCAGAATAACCATTCATATGACGATGCAATATTTTTAGGTGCACATTTAACTCCAAATAATAACACAGCAATAATAAAAAAACTGGAATAATTTAATTAATATGTAGCAGACTCGTTACCACAACAATCATAAAAGAATCATCAAAAGATAACATCATCTATTGTTGTCAAGACGCTAAAAATTCGTTTGGTTACAAAAAATACTAAACGTAACCCCCGACCCTTTTTGAAGCCTTGAAGTCTTCTAAGGGTTCAGAAAAGACAAATAGTTAAAATGTACGAAATAAACATTAACAAAAGATTAATTAAAAGTTCAACTAAAATTAAAGTTCAATTATATGAAGAAAATTTATAGTATACATATCTAATCATTAGTTCATAGTACACATTTAATCATTACTAATAATAAGACACGATTTAGTCACTGCTCTTTTAAAATCACCAGCAGTTGTATGCACTGTAGCCATTCGAACTCGTGTCACTGCCTGGATGAATTAGGGAATCTTCTAAATCACTGGAAATTCCAATTTTCCATTGATTTAGAAGCAATTATTCATTTTTGATCTGAACTAAGTCACCACATTTTCGATTTGGAGACTCACAAAAACCACTTAGCACATTGTCGAAGAGTTGTCAAATGCACTGCACGCCATTGTTTCCAAAAATGTTGCACAGTTTATTGAACTAGAGACCAACATTTAAGTCTGGAAGATTTAACATTACTCAAGTCAGATTCAGGAATGGCAAGCAAAGGGGCTTCAATCAGAAAATGACCTGGGTCAGTGCAGTAAAGTTCTTTGGATCACTTGACATCGTAGATAGAGGACGGGAGTTTGTACAGTACAAAGTCCGTAATCTGAACTCGTCGTGACTTCGGCGATTCTGGATTAGGGTTTTTTCTGGATTATAGATCATCAATTTAAATCTGGTAAGATGACATGCAGAAATTATACAACAATTAAAAATATAAAACCGTAATTTATGAAATAAAGAGCAATTTTGATCTAAAGGGTATCAAAATAAAAAAAAAAAAAAAAAAAAAAAAAAAAAGAAAGAAAGAGAGAGAGCTTAATATTTATTTGTTTACTTTATTAAACATTTCTTTCAATGTGAGTAGTTTAAGTTGCTTCATTTTTTGTGCTAATACCGTATTGACCGCTAATATTAAGTAATAATTTTGTTGTAGATATAAATCCGAAAATGTGATGATGCGGTAAAATAACATTATTTTATTTTGGGATTTTAATGTTTTTATTTTTCATAGAGCCATTTTCAATAGCCATAATTCCAGAATTGAGTTTATCTGCAACAATGCAACTTTTATATCTACCAAATTCCATGCAGAATTCCAGGGTTTTAGTACATGAACATGACAAGACATTAGCCGCCGGGAAAACCTCTCGGACGGGCACATGCGTTTGACACAGTTGGCCACGTTTCCATGCCCACTACCAAACGCTTGCGCGCGATCGAGAGGTTTTCCCTGCTGCTAAGGTCTTTTGTTTTAGTAGCTCAGTTGTGTAATAAGTTAATATGTAAACACTACGATAGAGCGTGTATGCCTGTGCTTGTATTTAATCACGCTCAACTCCCAAGTCAATCTTTAGTTTAAAAACTGGAAGTTAAATTTATTATAAGTAAGGTAAGTAAAGGAAAGTTGTTTTTATACTCTACTTATTTCAACCTAGTTTTTGATTCTGGAATATTGCTTCATTCCATTATAAATAATAGAATTTTCATTTTATCACTTCTTATTAGTATAATAGTCCGCCGTAGAATGCAGCACAATGCAAGGAACTTTGAGTAGGCCTACTATGGGGTGGTTTGGCCATACTATTGTAAAAAAATCTCCAGTAGTAGTCGTAGAAATAGTACAGTCCAAATCACCTTTGGAATAGCTTAATTTTAATCCATACTCGTAAATCCGGGTTTCGTTTTTACAAGTTTAAAATGCATTACTTAACAAATTTAAAATAACTTTTTAGCTTTCTGATAGCATAATAAAAGCGACGGGCGCAAACTAAAATGTATATTTAAAGGTGACGAGAAGAAGGAGAAAACAAGTTTAAATTTTAGTTTGTGCGTGCCCATCGCTTTTATTATGGTATATCAGAAAGTTAAAAAATTATTTTAAACTTTTAAGCGCAATTTATAAAAGCTTTTTTTAAATATTTTTTTTTTTTAGCGAAAAATGTCTGATGGATATAAAAGAAAACACCAAAGTGGACATGAAAAACGCAAAAAGAAAGAGAAAGTGAGTGAGTCGCTTAGTAAAATTAAAGGTTCTTTATTGAAATATGTTAACATTTCTAAGGAGACAGAAGATAATGCAGATGCGGTAGATATTTCCTCGATCGAGGTTAGACCTAAAGAAGCTGAGGCTTGTTGGGACTCGCAAGAATGTTCAACCAATAAAACTGAGAATGTCACAGAAGACGAGGCTGACGGGGGTTTACGAAATTTTAACGACGCTTCCAAGCAGGTGGTGCCTGAATCACTACCAACAACATCAGCCTCAAGTATTTTCAGTTCTGATCCAGCACGGTGGACAACCATAAGCGCAGATCTTATCGATTACTTCTCTCGTAATCACCCTGTGCAGAAATTGGATATAAATTTTAAGTTATACGCCACTAAATTTGGCGAAATAATGAGATGTCCATCACAAGATTATTTTTTCAGAAAACTGAACAACAATGATATTATAAAAAGGGACTGGTTGATATTTTCCGAATCTACTGGCAAGTTTTTTTTTTGTTATAAATGTATTTTGTTCAAATCGGACCTACCTGGAAATCCAAACCTGTGTAACCAATTCCTTACAGGCTTTAATGACTGGAAAAACGCACATTCGAGAATTTCAAGTCATGAAGTGTCAAAAGAACATTTTGCATCTATTTCTGCTTTAGTGAACTACCAACAAACTAGAAAAATTGATGAGACGTTTGATATTGTCAAGGAAAAAGAAAGCACATATTGGACAACGGTTTTAAGAAGAGTAGTGGAAGTAATTAAGTTTTTGGCCGAAAGGGGACTAGCGTTTAGAGGCGATAATGAAATACATGGTGATCCTAGTAATGGCAATTTTCTTGGGTGTATCGATCTCTTAGCCAAATTTGATCCGTTTCTAGAAGAACATGTAAGAAGATACGGTAATCCAGGCCGCGGAAAAGTATCATATTTATCCTCCACAACGTATGAAGAACTAATAATTTTACTGGGGTCAAAAGTATTGGAAAAAATAGTTACAGAAATCAAAGAAGCCAAGTATTATGGAATCACTGTGGATTCTACACCTGACGTTAGCCATACGGATCAACTCTCCATAGTTATTAGATATGTCTCAAAAACTGGAGATATATATGAAAGATTTTTGATGTTTGTTAAAATAGAAAAACATGATGCCAAGTATCTTTTTGACACTCTAATTTCAGTTTTAGAAAATCAGGGAATAGACCCAAAATTTTGCAGATGTCAGTCTTATGACAATGCGGCTAATATGAGCGGAGTGTATTCGGGAGTACAAACTAGATTTAGGGAAATCAACAGCGCAGCCACTTGGGTACCATGTGGAGCTCATAGTCTTAATCTAGTTGGCACAGCGGCGGCAGAAAGCTGCTTAGAAGCTGTAAAATTTTTTGAAATTTTGCAATCGCTCTACAATTTCTTTGCAGCGTCCCCTCAAAGATGGTCTAAACTAAGGTCTTTGGGAAGTAAAATTTCTGTAAAAAGACTTTCAGAGACCAGATGGTCAGCACGTTATGAGGCTGTAAAAACATTATGTGCCCATTATGATGATATACGTGGTATTCTTACAAATATTTCAACTAGTGAAGGTATGAAACCTACAACAGTGATTGAGGCACAAACCTTAATCCATCAAATGAATACTTTGGAGATGGTATTACTCACAGTTATTTGGGAAGATCTACTAAAACACGTCGATATTGTAAATAAATCTCTTCAAGAACCTGGCATCGAGTTTAACACGATGGTGCGACTTTACGACAGTTTAATTCAATATTTATCTCACTGCAGAACTGAGGACATGTATAATAGCTATTATCTTAAGGCAAAAGCCCTTGCACCAGATTCAGAATTTAAAGAATCCGAAACTAGAGTTCGTAAGAGAAAACGACAGTTCGATGAAGGGCCAGATGAGACTCCCTCTCGCAGTGCCAAAGATTCCTTTAAGATTAATGTTTTTTTTATTGTTCTGGATGTGCTTTGCGCTGAAATGACAAAGAGACGCACTGCGTATACCAGCCTTTATGACACATTTAGTTTTCTTACGGATAATACACTGACCGAGGACATTATCAAGGTTAAGGCTCAAGCTCTGGTAAAAATGTATCCGTCTGACTTAGAAGAAAACTTTGTTGATGAGTATTTGATTTTTTCAAATTTGTACCCCAAAACCACCTCTATAACGGATCTCATCAAATTACAAATAAAGGATAAACTTGTGTCAAGTTTCCCAAATGTTAATATTGCATTGCGCATATACCTTTCGATATTGGGTTCGAATGCAGAAGGAGAAAGATCATTCTCCAAGTTGAAGCTTATAAAAAATTTTATGCGTTCAACTATGGGTCAAGAGAGAACTTCGTCACTGGGCCTTCTGTGTATTGAAAGTGATGTCGCTCGCGGCATTAATTTTGAAGATATAATACACGAATTCGCTGTGTCAAAATCCCGAAAAAAGGAGTTATTTTAGGATCTACTTAGTAAACCAAACGTTTTGTATTCGTATTTTTTGTGTATTTGTATTTACATATATTATTTTGACCTTCACTATATAATAATATAAAAATGTTTATAAGTTTTTGGGGTATTTTTATTTCAATATATTTTTTTTTCAAAGCCCTAAGACCTTTGGCCTTCGTAGGCCCTAGGCACGTGCCTACTGTGCCTAATTGGTAATCTGGCCCTGCTAATACTTTCTCTTTAATTCTATAAACAGACGTAATTTTTTGTTCAATTACAAAGTTCCACTGTTCAAGTCCTGTAATTGCTGTGTCGAGAATACCGACTAACTTGTCAATCGACATTTTTTTTTGTTTTCAATAACCTCTTTGTCACTTTCTTCACTATAGGAAACGGTATTTTCTGGATCTAGAACCATACTATAGATTTTGCCGCCCGTTGATTGATGATTGGGGCATTGTCGTCGTAATGAAAAAACATCTGTTATATCATCTTCATACTATTCCAACAAAGAAGGCAGATGAGAGCAGCAGTGGAAGCAGAACGCGGTCTCCCACACAAAATGGTGCGAGTTCTGTATTTTTAGAAGCGGTTACATAATAGGTTCGCATGTTCTGGAAAGTACTGGTCTAGGGGGAAGATCCTGAAATTGCAGCAAGTTAATTAGAGGTTGCGTGTTCACATAGAAAGTGATTAGTTTATCTTAAATAATAAGAAGTAGCCTGAAATAAATTTTTATCATATTATGTATTTTAAAGGATATTTATGTTTTCAATATTGTTTTATGTTACTTAATATTTGTTTTACTTTATGTAGTGAAAGCCCTTGCTGCTCTGTATGATGTTGATGATGAGCTGTCTCTCATTGCAAGGTATGCATTTGAAAATTTTCAAGTTTGTAACATGGTCATAATTATAATTTAATGATGAACGAGGGAAATCCTCTTTTGCTGTCACTTAAGTAAAAATGGTAATGCATATATTTCTTAGCTTTGCTTGCATGTGTAGGATGATTGTTTAGTTCTAGAACTAAGAGTTTAAGAAAAATGTCAGCAAAAATTTTACAAACTGGTTTGATAGTAAAAATTAATAATTCTCTAATGGCCTGTGAAGTAATTTGTCTTTCTGACAGATAAGAAGAATGGATTCCATGTTTTGATCTCTTCGGAATAGGTAAACATATATAATTTTTTTACCCATTTTTACGTTGAACTTCGTATCTAGTGTTCTGATGACTATATAAACCACTGTACTGAATATATAAAATATTCTTGGAAAATTATTATGCGATAACAATTTTTGACTTATTATATCGTTGAGAATTATTATCAGAATTAATAAAGTGGCATTAGTTATGAACTGCCTTAAATGGTGAGTGAACATTTAGATATCTTAGTGACATTTCCTAAAGTACAGTATAGTCTCTATAAATCCATCACATGTATAGTCTCTATAAATCCTGACATTACCTCCTAGCATGCAAATGCAATCCCTCATACACTTGCATATATAGTAAACTTGTATCATTTAAGTACATTATCTGGTTAAATTAATTTTTAGAAATGTATTTATAAATTGGGCTAATTTTTTGGATTTTTCTATTATAGGATAATGTGTCAAATAATTTTCTCTGGAAAGATATTGTAATACCCTCAAAAGCAAGAAAAAAACATACTTCAAAAACTGATCAAATCACTTTTGTGATACAAGTTGCTAATTTGGCTAGATTTGGAAATTAATAATGATGCTATCAGCAAGATATTGGATTTCCACACAGCAAAGGGCTAACAATCAGTAAGCTTATAAATGTGTGAGCAGATTGCTACTCCTAGAGTGTTCCAGAAGTTCTTCATTGAGTGTCATTCTATTTCTTTCTTTGTGCATTCAAATAATTAATGAAAGATTCAGGAAATTTTTCTACAATTGAAATGACCTACTATGTAAGTATTTTCTCGATGAAGTATTAAGTTGGTGTATATATCTTTCCAGAGAAAAATGGTTTGTGCTAATTTTCCTATGATAGAAAAGATACCCCCCCTTTTTTTTTTGTATGAAATGAAAAATGTCCAGACAGGTATGGTTCTCATCCACCTCCTCTACAAAAAGGAAATTTTGAAAAAGAAAGTGTAAATCATTTCAATTATTAGTGGCTAGTGCGTCACGCAGCTGCAACATAGGTCCGGGGTTCGATCCCCGGGCTGGGCAAGGGTAACTCACCCTTTCATTCCCTAAGTGGGTCGATAAAATAAAATGAGTACCAAGTTTGCTTGAGGACTAAACACCAGGGGGCCTGCGACAAGCTGACCACTTATCCAGGGCATATGCTGATGCATTCTGGGGCCCAAGGCCAAGAAAACAGATTTCGGAGCCCTGCAGGCCATGGCCCATTAGGGCTATTGCACCATTGAGTTTAGTTGCACCACTGAGCTGTTGGCCATTTCAGTTATTAAACAATATTCAATTTTTAAAATATATTTCTTGTGTGGATATTAAATCTGTAAAAGAAGGTATTAATAATGGTATATGGCAGGGGTGGGGCAGACTTTTCCAGGGTACGGACTACTTCTAATTTTTTCAAGGTGTTGCTGTTCACCCAGTGGCGTAAATGTGCTGAGCTAAAAAAGGTCTACAATATTTATTACAGCTTGATAATAAATACGGAATATGTACGTTGCATTTCTTATCAAACAATTCAAAATACATTAAAAAATAAATCATTTTCATCTAAAGTTAGTTCTCGTAGTTATCAGAAGACTTAGTCTGCATAATGTCTGCCAATCTTGAATATCTCGGTATATAATTACTAACTGCTAATATTGCACTGTACTCTAAGTGGTCATCTCTGAGATGGGAATGATATGTTGTCTTAATTATATTTGTCGTTGCAAATGCAGACTCGCACCGGTAGGTAGAGCAAAAGAACAATGTTAAATGAAATGCAACTTTTTTTTTTAAATTAGGATACTTTACTCCATTCATTAGATTCCAAAAGTTATTCTTATGTCCTCAACTATTTGCTTTTAAAATGATGTCTTTTTAAAAGAGAAAAACTTTGTGTTCCTCAAGAGATAAAGAGAATATATTAACTTTAAATTTGCTTTTTATGAATAGAGAATGTTTGTTAAATTCTAATTTATATTTTCAGTCATTTCTTTCACAACATTACCAAATGGGTAACACATGAATGTAACAATTGGTTCTAGTCTTGTAAATTCTTGACAACATCTCTCAAATTCAGAGTGAAATTTTATTTTTTCATCATAATATTTCTCTTTGTTTAACATACCTTCTCTTTTAAACAACTCATCAGAAATATTTTGAAATTTTTTAGTTCATTCTTCAACTAGGAAGATAGTAGCTGTAACTTGTTTTTGAAAGTATCAGCAAATACAATCAATTCTAATATTGTTTGATTTTTCCGTGTAATTTTAAGTTTATTTCATTAAGATGGCTTGTTATATCAGCAACAAAAGCTAAATCCATGAACCAAACATCATCACTGAGTTCAATGTATATGCTTTATCATTTGATTCCAAAATCTTTTGCCTCTTGTAGTAGGTCCCTGAATATTTGTAAAAATATACCCCGACTTAACCAATGAACACCTGCATGATGTAAAAATTCCCTGTAATCATATTTTTCTTCTAGTTGGGCACGAAACATTCTTCTCTAAAGATTTCTTCCTCAACTAAGATTACAATTTTCATGCATATTCTCATAACATGATGCATATTAAAATTTTGCAACAGAGAGCCTGTTGGTGAATAATGCAATGATAAGAAAGGAAATGCAGTATGCCTTCGTCTCTGATACACATACCCAAAAATCCAGTGACTGTGCCGGTGATTGATAGAGAGAGCCCCATCAGTTGTCATCGATACAGCTTTATAATTTGGAATTTTTTTCTCCTCTATGTGCTTTTTGAAGGCACAGTAAACATTTCACTTTGTGTTTTCTTCTTTAGAGGTAATATTGTTAATAATTCTTCTTTTACACTCATGTTCTTAAAAACCATTCTTATAAAAATGCAAAGTTGAGAAGCATCAATCATGTCCGTAAATTTGTCAAACTGTAAGGAAGTTTGTCTATCTGTTGCTAAGACTTCCTCCTTCGGGAAAATCAAACCGTCCATGAAAACATCTGTTTATTCCATCTTGGTTAGAATTTAGGGAAAGTGGAGCTTGATTGTGGACAGTCCATTTTTTGATATTGTCTTTGATATGTCTGTAATTTTTTATATGTCCAAAAATCGGTAGTGTTGGTTGTAATGCCTTTAAAAGTCTGGCTTATGTTAACAGGTGATACATTAAAACAAATAACGACAATACATCATTGGAAGCATTTACAAGATTGAGGTCAGTAATAAACAGAAATCAACATTAGAAGTCCATAATAGTTCAGTTATACAAGATACGTACAGTGCGTTATCAAAAAGAAAAATATATACAGGGGAACGAAAACTTCACGTAAAACTGTTGAATGTGATGAGGGATATTTGCAGGGGCATTGTTATGTGGTTAACATTCACTGTGAGCTGGAATCTGTTTGTTTTTGCTTTCGGTGCTATTGTGGTGTTGCACAAATGGGTTGAGGTAAGACTTAGCTGGCGTTTGAAGAGAGAGAAGTTTCCTAGTCTTTGTACACGAAGCACTTGGCAAGCATTTAAGTTTGACCCATCACACGTCAAACTTTTCCTTGTCGTTTATTAGAAAGATGCTAATTCTTCACCAACTACACAAAAACATTATCATAAAGGCTTTTTTTTTTTTTTAGTTTCTCATTAAATTCATTTTTTTTTTTTTTTTTTACTTTTCATCTTTATTTAACAGATGTTATTTTTTTAAAGGAAAGATTAGATCTTTAATAATTAGAATTGAATTTTTAAATTTAAATTTCAGTGTGAAATTTTGATAACAGGGAAACATAGAAGAAATCATCTGGTGCACAAAATCGTAAATGCAAAGCTGAGAAAGATACTGCTCTTCAGAAGCAGACAGACGCAGACTACTGCGGACGTAAATGATGTTCACATTTAATCAGCAGGAGAATCGTTAACAAAAAGAACAGACATCATCCAGCCAATGAACATCAGCTACATTGGATGAAGTTATTGAACGGACTGATAAAACTCCAAGGGAAGAGAATGATGATCCAAGCATGGAATTAAATGAATCGTTAAAGATTATCCATATAATTCTGTGGAAGAGACTAGCATAAATGAAAATCCCTTTCTTTATATTGATTTTGATGATCCTGCAAAGTGGCCAACTCTTAGCAACAAAGTGAGAATTTGTCTGAAATGGGACTTATTCAAAGGAAAGGTTTAATGTATCTGAAAAGTAATAATGGATGTAAATTTAGTGATAACATATTACAACAGAAAAATGGAAAACTGAGAATTAGTTCCCCATACATGACTATTATATTCCATGAATACAAATTCTATTTTTTGCTTCTGCTGCAAGATATTTTGTCTTGCTGTTAGTATTTTAATTGAAATGTATTTTAAATTATTTCATGTTTTAGAATTTTACACCCAACTTCATCTGAGCATAACCTTGTCTATCTATTTGTATATATGTCTGTTTTATCTATCAGCTGTGTTTTTAGTGTCTGACATGTAGTTCGGCGCATATAACCTCTAAGGTTTTACGCCAGAATATGGACACACCAACCAACTAACCATCTGTTGCAAGATATTTGCATCGCTTGACAAAAGTAGCATCCTAAAAGATTGGATAAATGTATCTAAAGCCCAGAAAAGGCATGAGACAAGTTGAGCATATATGAAAAATTTCTTAAAATGGAAAGAGTTTGAGAAAAATTTGAAAAATAAAACAACAATTGAATGTAACAAGAAATTTCTACAAAACAAGAAATGTAAGAAAATGAAAAAAAGGGGGGGGAATTGGTTAAATATATTAGGAAGACTGATTGAGATCACACAAAATTCTTGGCACACAGAATTTAGCCTTTCGAGGCTCATCTGATGTGCTGTACCAAACAGACAATGCAAACGTCTTAAAATTAGTGGATTTGTTTACAAAGTTTGATCTAGTTATGGAATTTCATGTAGAGAGAGTATTATGAACCTAAAGTTAGCAACAGTTCATTATCTAAGCAAAGATAGTAAAAATGCAATGCTGCAAATTATTGGCAATAGTGTGAGAGAAACTCTATCTCTTCAAAAAGCCAAGTATTATTCTATAATTTTAGATTGTACTCCTGATATTAGCAAAACTGAACAGATTAGTGTCGTCATTCATTTTGAATCCTGCAGTGATGGAGTGGTAGAAATCAAGGAATATTCTTAGTCTTTCTTAAAGTTGATGATTCTACAGGCCTATGTGAGACAGTAATGGAAATGTTGAAAATGTGGGACATTTCCCTTGATGCTATGGGAGGCCAGGAATATGACAACAGTGCAAATATGAAAGGGAAGAAAATAGGTCTTTAAAATAATATCTAAAAAATAAATCTTTGTGCGTTTTTATGTTTCTGGTGCTGCTCAAAGCTTAAATTTAATGATTAACAATGCAGCAAAGGTGAATGCAGATACAGTTCATTTTTTCGACAATCTAAGAATTATGCAATTTATTTTTTTCTTCTAAGCGATGGGCAGTTCTTTTAAAAAAGTTTTCTGTTTAACCTTAAATCCCCTCTCAAACACTCGATGAAAATTGAAGCCATTCAACCTTTAAGATATCAACTAAAAGAAATCCATGACGCTGTTTTTCAAATATCTGAAGGTGAAAGCTTTTTTTCAGTGCGACATGAAGCACGATGTCTGTGTGCCAAAATCAAGGATTATAAATTTATCTGTTCCTCGATACTTTGTGCGATTAGCTTAACAAAATTGATCCTGTTAGCAAACAATTGCAAGCAAAGGGTTTGAGTATGACACTAGGCTTAAAGGCAGTAAGTAAGATAAAAACATTCATTGAAGAACATAGAAATGACATCAATTACAAAAGTATTCTCGAGAAAGCCAAAGAACTTAGTGAAGAAACGGATGACAAGCCACAGTTTAAAACTGTTGAAGAAGTTCAGTGAAAGAAAAAGAAATGTCACTTCGATTATGAACGTTCTGATGAATCCCCTTAATCTCCAATAGAGAAATTTAGGGCAAATGTCTTTTTTAGAATTTTGGATATTGCTTGGGCATCATTAAATGAAAGATTTGATGGAATGAAAAATCACGGAGATAATTTTAGTTTCCTGGGTAGTTTATCACAAATCAATAATGCAAATTAAAAAATAAAATGTAGTAAATTAGAAAAATTGTTATAGTGTGGTGACAATAATGCAGACCTTTATTACAAAATAGTAGCTTCGAAAGACATTTTTACAGCCAGTATGAATGACGCATTTGATATTTCGAACTTAATTGTGTCAAATAATTTGTGCTTGCTTCCTGAACTTGAAGATCATATTGAGAATACTACTTAGCATTCCTGTTAGTGTTCCTAGTAGTAAAATAGCACAAGGTATCAAAAAAATCATTATCTAAATTAAAATTGTTCAAGACATGTTTACGGTGAAGTATATCGCAAGAAAGACTTACAAACCTAGCTTTGTTTGCCACTGAAAATGAAATTTGTCAAGAGATAAGATGCAAAAGAAATTATAGAAAAATTTGTAAATATGAAATGCAGAAAAATAAATTATTCTTGATAAATTGTTAAAAAAATTTCAATAAATACTTTCTTCAAAACCTCCTCCTCCTATAAAATTTTTTTTTAAAGTCGAGGAGGGGGGGGACTGCAGCTATTTTGTAGGTGGGCGCCGGATAACCTTGTGTAGGCGTTGTCTCCAAGAAAACTTGGTACTCATTTTATCGACCCATTCTAGGGATGAAAGACTGAGTCAACCTTGCCTAGCCAGGGGATTGAACTCTGGACCGGTGGTGCAGCTGTCCGAACTGATTTTCCAGTCTAGCTGGCATCGGTGTTCCATAAAATTTTTTTTTAATATGCATGTCTTAGTAAAGGCGACCACCCCAAAATGTCATGGTGGTCCACCAGTCGATTGCAATTGACTTAAATGCCCATCCTTGGTGTATGGTAACTTGCATGTAAGGGCTTCCTGAGATGTAAATGTTATTTTGAAGACTGTCTAAGGTTAAATAAGAAATGCTAGAATGAGAGTTCTTATCATTAGAAAACGGGGACAAATTCTATATTTAGATGAAACCTCTTAAGTTGACCTGTAAAGTATTTCCTGTGAGAATGTTTAAAAAATTGTGTTTAACTTTCCAGCACGCGCATATGCGCAAAATTTATGACAAATTAAATTTTTAATGCACATTTTTCGCATATCAAAGCCGAGACGTCTGAAGGTCATTTCTATTCCTCATTTCTACCCTTTGCCACATCATGGAATGTGCCAATAGAAAGTCATTTGACTTTTTTCTTTTTTACTGCGCTTTTGTGCTACATGGAAGTGTTTTCGTAAAGTTTATGACACGCGGATACTCGTGGGTGAAAATTCGGAAAATATTTTTTTTCTCAAATATTTTGTAATTTTGTGTTATTAATTGCCATGTATTATTTTAATTTGAATACATTTGCATCTGTAAATTTTATATCGGTTTTCATGGCAAAAAAATATGTGCAACCAGCTGATTTTGCTCGCATTCTTCAAGAATTATCTGATGAAAAGGAAGACAAGGAAGCTTTTGGATGGGAGAACAATAGCGATTTCCATTCCTTATTTTCTTTTATTTCTATTTTTTATAAATAAATAAAAATATTAAAAGTTAATTTAAAAGTGCGTTTTTGTAACCAGTAAGAAGTAAATTTCCTTGCAGAAGTAAGTAATGCTAAACTTACTTTTTTCCTACAAGGGTGTTTTCCTTTTTTATTTGTCTAGACTTGCTTTTGATGAATATTAAAATTAGCTTCGATTTTAAATATAATCATTAAATAATAAATTTAAAAATTTCTATAATGAAATACATCATTGCATTTCCATCTCACTAACATAAAAATTTAAAAATAATTTACTTATATTTGAATGTGTATTTTGCAATAATAAGATTAATATTTTATTTCTTAACAAATAGATTATCAATATTCTCTCATTTCTGCCGTTTTTCGTGCCAAAAGTGGTAAAATAACGGATGTCATAAAAAATATGGCGCGCGCGCTCATTGCTCAGCACACATTCTGGAAGGTTAAGGAAAAAATCATTGGGACATGAAGACCTTTATAAAGATATATGTTGCTAAAATGCATGTGAAAAGAAATATTGCTTTGTATTTTTTTTTACATCAGCATCTCATCTTTATAAACCTTCGATAATGGCCTTCCCTTTCATTTTTATTGCCTTCATAATTTGTAATTTCTCCTCTGAAAAAAAATCAATGTTATATTAATTTATAATATGAAATTGTATTATAAAATGAAGTATTGAAGTTGAAAACTCTGCATTCATTCTGGATTTTTAATTTACATTTTGAAATTTTTATGATGTATGTGAGTTTTGTCTTTAGTCCGAGTAAAAGCTTGACTATTCAGCTCAGATAATGCCAAATTCCAGATGCATGAAAATGACGGGTAATTGAGTGTATAAAAATTGCAGTTCACGGTAGGAAAGTTAAATGAACGTGAAAGAAGTTAAGGGTCATTTCATTTGTCATCGACTTTAATATCAAATGCCTGCATTTAAATTATCTGAGATGTCAAAAGGAAAATGGCATTCTGGACAAGAAAAGGTGAAGTAATATATTATATTCAATTACAAAATTCTGTCGACCATGAAAACTGGCGGTGCTTGCCAAAATTGCACCAGTCATTTCAGCAGAAGTCTGAAGGAATGGATCTCTGTTTATTTAGTTAATCAATGTATACAAGCTACAGAAAATCATAAAACAAAAAACCTTGAATTGTGTGTTGTAATTTTTACACACATTGCACAACCAGTGTTTATCCATTTTCACATAAGTCACACTTTTCTTGATGCCAGGAACCCATAAATATTCTATTGCATGCTGTTCTGTTGAAAAAAAAGTCCCTAATTTTAGTCTTTTTTTTTTTTTTCAAAAAGCGAATGAAAAACAGATGAACAGCAGTTGATTTACATCGATTTTTACAAAAATCGACTTAATTGATCAAATTTATGTGAAACCAAACATGAATGTCATATTCATCCATAACTGGTGCTAAATGACACTGTTTGGCAACAGTTTTGTTTGATTCAAATCACATTTCTTTCTGTGCTTCATAACAGAGTTACAGTTCTCTTATTTGCTTAATTTTGCGTTAAAAAAAGCTTTTAAAATTAAAAAATGTTCCAGTTTCTTGAGCTTTCAAGGTTAGTTAAATGCTGATAGTAGTTAAATATTTTACTGTATTGAGTTGAGTTTGGGACTCACTTTTCCTCCACAATTTTTTTTTTATTTTAATGTAATTAATTTATTTTTAAAGACAAGGATCTGGCAGTGCATGCCGTAGTATGTTTGGAGGATTTGTACGTTGGCTTGCCGGACAAGAAAATGATGGATCTGATTCTTTAGCAACACAAATTGCTGCCCAAGAATTCTGGCCTGAGTTAAAAGTCATCATTCTAGTTGTATGTGATGCATTATTGTCATAATTTTCTTGGATTTATAAGTATTATTATGTATTAATGTTTTTATAATTTCAAGTAAATATTTATATTGACATACATTTTTTAAAAATATTGTTGTCATCAAATTTGCAGTTGCTTTTTGGAATAATTTGTGATTTAGTAAGCTACAGAAATAAGAAATTTAGATTTTATTTAAGCTGTCTTCTGATTTGGGTTTTGCCGTAATGGTGTGTCTTGGCTTAACACTTGTTCCCCACTCCATAATTTTTATATGCTAATGTTAATAGAAGATTCATGAATCTGGTAAAATATTTGAAAAATATAAGGTTCACTAAAATGAATTTATTAGTGTTTCAGTTTATTTTTATAAACTGAAATTCCAGAAAAAATTTGTAATTTATCCATCTTTATATATTTATATATGTAAATAAAAATATTGTAGATTCTTGTAAAATATTTTTTTAAAATCTATTTGTACAAATATATGATAGCTCTAAAAGACGCTGTATTTTTGTAGTATATTGCATTTATATAATCAAAACAAAAAGTACTCCTAGCCAAGAATTTGCACTATTTCAATTTTTGTAAATGTTTATAGAAGGAGCTAAATTACATATTATTTTCAAACATATTAGTAATTATGTACAAAATAATAAAATGCTTTAAAATTTCTTTTAATTTGTATCTTAGCACAGTAATGTTTATATTTCAAATGTGTAGGAAAATTTGTTGATGAAATATTATATATTCAGTTTATCAATATGTAAGCTTATTCATAAGTATGCATACTTTTATGTGTAATGTCAATAATATCTATTTGTGCAAAGCCACTTTAAAATACACTTACTGGAAATACATTCTCACCCAATCTTAATTTTTAGATTGAAATATGATTATAAATCCTCACCCTACAGCACTAAATTTTGAAGCTTAGTTGCATAGTCTGAAGACATCTAATCGCCTGTTTAATTTAATATTCAAGGAAGAATACAAAATAGAGCCACATATGAAAAACAAAAAACATGCTAAGGCTGTGAGTTAAATTTACCTGAATTATAACATAAAATTCTAACTTTAATTTTTAAAAGCCTCGAAGTCCACTTTTTAATTTGGTTGTCCCCTTGTTCTGTTCTGAAATTCATAATATGCTGATAATAATTCTTTCTTAAGTGTATCATTTTAAAATTAGTGCCTTTCACATGATTCTTATATGATGCTAATGATACATGTACTTACATAATGGCAAAAATCTAACTGAAATCTTTTATCCAGTAATAATATTCAAATTGTAAATTAAAGTTAAAAATATAAACAAAGCGAAACCATAACTTTGCTATTCAAGAAGATTATTACATGACACAGCCATATTTTAACATATCAGCTGTGTTTTGAACTGCGAATGCACTTTTGTGCATATTATATAACTTTTTGTGTACTATACACAAAAAATAGTTACCTGTGGTCTACACAAACAAACTAATAAAGCTTTCTTTTTGCATATTATATTCTTTGTATATAATAGTGTAAATATTCTTTTCTTATCAATCAAGGACATTTGAAGTATCTAATTATATTTTCTATGACATATTAAGCAAAGTTGGTTATAACTAATTGAAGTTTTGGAGCTGAAATTTAAAACAAATTTCAGGAATATTGCATGAAGAACTTTGAATGATTAGCAAAAATCTAACTGAAATCTTTTATTCAATAATAATGATCAATTTGTAAACTAAAGCTTTTAGTTTATCAATAGAAAATAAAGCCATAACTTTGTTATTCTTAATCTAATACTGTAATCTTAACATCATTCTTCTCTATATCATTAACATTGATGTCCATTTTTACCAGTTCTGTCGTTATATGAATCCTGTGCATGTATTGCTTTATTGTGTTTTGTATGCAAATAATAAATACTGAAAATAACGACATGTATCAAATAGCCATAACTGCATCTAATTGAAAAATGTCTCCAATATCAGCATCATATGTGTCATACTCAGAACTTTTTTTATCATTTGCACATATATATCTAAAGAGAGAGAAGTTGCTGTTGGTTCTTATAAGAAGATGCATGTGTAGAAAAACTGTAAACAGTTTATATAGTTGAAATTTTGTTCTGCCTGACACTTCTGATAAATTAACTAACTGTAGTTATCTTTGTTTGTTCTTATTCAAATCTTTGCAATAGCTTTTTAAGAAAATTATCATCACCACCTTAAACAATCGCTAAAAAGGCAATGAAACTTAGATAACTGTCCATGGTTCACCCAGAGATGTGTCTCCTTACTTATGTATAGTATACTATGCTTGTATAATTAGAATTCTCCCTAAAAAATAGCAAATGTACCAGAAGAGTCCATTTCCAGTGTAAGAGAGACACATGAGAGGGGCATCTGCTAGGAAGTCCTGTATCCAGTAGAGTCCAATGAACTGTGCACTTAAATGTGATTATTCTTGATTTGCAGTGTATTCAGTAGCTAGTTGCCAAATGTGTATTTGCCTTCACTAACTACGGCAGTTTTTGATGTCAGCATTTGTACATCGAGTACAGTGTCTAAAATATCAATGTCTACTATTAATTAGTTTCACTTTTTTTACTTCATAAGTATTAGTGATGGTAGATCATGAACACCTAATGAGCAGTGCTGTTTCTAGAGATACTCATTTTTAGTCTCTGGACATCACAGTCCAAGGAGAATCTTCCGTGTAATACATTTTATGTACATTTATATTTATAGGTTAATGCTAACAAAAAGGGTATAAGCAGTACTACAGGCATGAAACAAAGTGTTTTGACAAGCTCATTATTAAAATATAGGGCATCTAATATTGTACCTGCCAGAGTGGAGGCAATAACTGAAGCAATCTTGCTAAAAGATTTTGAAAAATTTGCTGAAATCACAATGAAGGTAAGTTATTTCATGATGAAGTCAATCTATGCATTTTCATATTAATGTCTCATTTTTCATATAAAGGAAGTTAAGTGTTAGTCTTTCAAATATGTGATATTGTAAGAATTTTTCTATAAACACAAATGCAGCTAGTTCTAAAAGTGTATATTAACAAAGCACAGAGACAGTTACAAAGAAAATATTCACCAAAATGGAACATTTAAAATTTAGAATTAATGTTCAGGTCACAGAGACATAATAGAGAACCTATCCTCATTGCAGTTGGAGATCGACTGCTGTAAGTTGTTATCCTTGCCACTAGATGGCCTTTGATAAAATAGTTGTTACATCCAAATAGTTCTGTTACATCCTTCCCCTCTGACTTTGTAGATATCTTGTCAAGATGTCATGAAATGACATTTATCTACTTCATGCAGTAGGTGAAGAACAAGATGGACAGGTCGAATTTGACGAGTAATAACATTAGATTCAGGAACTGGGGGGGGGAGATGACTATTCATTCTAAGATTAAGATGACTAGTTCATGATTTGCTAACTCACTGATAGTTTCTTTGCCATTTCAGTTAAGCTGAGTTTTATTTAACTCTGACTGTACTGCATTTGTGTATGTTATATATTTTCTATAAAATATTAAATTTTCAAAATATTTTAAGAAAGAAAATTGTACTAGTTGGTAATATTGAAGATTATGTAATTGAAATTGCTGATACAGTTTTTCATTTTTTAAAAGCCTTTATCAGAATATAGCTATTTACACTGTTGTTTTGAATTATAGGACAGTAATCAGTTTCATGCTGTATGCCTTGATACTTTCCCTCCTGTACATTACTTAAATTCTATATCATATGTGATCATGGAATTAGTTCATGCATACAATGACTTTTACCACAAAAATAAGGTAAGTCAGCTCATTTGAAAAGAAATGTTTTTCTTTTAACCAGTGTCTTAAAATTAGTTTTTATTATCTTCTTTCTGGGTTCTAGGTTGCATATACATTTGATGCTGGTCCCAATGCCTGCCTTTTCTTATTGAAACAGGATGTACCAGAAGTAATTTCATTAATTAAAAATATATTTCCTTCATCTACTGATGACAATGAATTTATTCGAGGATTGGATGTTTCTCCATGTGATATTTCTGAGGTATAATTATTCTTTTGTGACATCTTTAATGGATTTTTAAGTATGTAAAATCTTAAAATCGGAGCATTTTCTTGAAAGAAAATTTTGGAAAAGTAGTGAACTTCTATCGAAAGAAATATTTGACAGTGCAATAATATTCTTATGAGTTTTTTACTATTGTGCTACCAATATGTTATGTATATTTCTTGCATTTTTTCTGAATTATTTTAATTTTCAGCTCTTTTTAAATAGTATTCTAATTTCTTCTCAACCTGATTTAATACTTTGTGTAATTCTTGCATCTATTCTTAATTATTTAAATTTTTTAGGAACTTCTAAGTAGTATTCCAATTTCTCCTCAGCCGGATTCAATACAGTATATTATAAATACAGAGGTAAATATTGTTATGCAATTTTTTTCATTTTCATTAAACTTAATATTTCTTATGCTTGATATTAATATAATTAAAAACATAATTTGCATTATATTTTTTTTACATATTTAGAAAATTTTTAAAATAAATTTGTAACCATTAAATTCCAAATCTCTCTTCTAACTTTTCTCTTTTGAATTCTCTAGCAGGCAATCTCTTTTGGATAGTAATGTAATGTAATCAGTATAATTTTAGTTAGTATTGATATAATTTTTGCATAAACAAGTTCCATAGCATTTTAAAACTGCAGTACCTGTGTGAAAAGTTATTTGTTCTTTCAAAATATGTTTAATTTTTTTTTTTCAAATTTTCCTGCATTTTGTTAAAAGAATAAATGACCAAAAAATGTATAATGTTTTTAAATTTCAATAGCTGGATACTTTCTTGTTGTTTAAAATTTTGTTTCATATTCTTATGCTTTGCATATGACTAACTTGACTCACTATCTTTATAAAAAAATTAATTGTATCAATCTCCTTGCTGTTTATTAGCATTAACAAAATAATATATGAATATTATTTATGAATTACCTTTATATTATTATTTTGTTCTTAACCCTATGAATGGTGTGACTTTTTGTTCATGAAGATCTACATTAAAACAGTTTCTATCAGATAATTTTTTATAATTACTTTTTGGCCAAAATCAGCTGAAGATCCTTAATTTTAATCATCTGAAATTTCTATCTGTTTTTACGCTATTTTGAGTGTGAATTAACATTTTGGAGGAATATTTTTGCTGATTCACTGACGTATATATGGATATCTTTTGAGTGGGTTCATGAGTTATAATTATTTTCTATTTCTAATATAAATAATGGGATGCTCGAGTTTCTAAGCAAGAAGTGAAATGTAAGCATTTCAAAATTCGTTTTTTTCTAATAAAGAGCTCTTAAACAACTTTTTGCTTTTGGGGATGTGAATTCTTTTATTAAACGGTTCTAAATTGGGCGACTTTTCAACATTTTGGCATTTTAAGATGAGTTTCTATAGAAACTTTTTAATTCCGAGATCTGAGAAATTTTCGACGATTTTTTTAAAGCATCGTAGCATTGATAAAGTTCATTAAAATAATATTGAAATTATATTTAAAAATAAAATTAAAATAAAACATTTTTTATTTTTTGCTGTCATATTATAAAGTTTTATTTTGGCAACTTATCGTACAATATTTTGAATCTAAAAAATAAACAAGGTATAATGCTATAAAGAACAATATTAAAAACAGCTCTTCTTAGAAAAAGCAAAATTAGTTTATGTAATCAATTAAAAATGTCTTCTTTTTAACTTTTTCATAGTAAGGGTTGCATTTGTCTCAGAATATGCATCAGTTTTCTATATAAAATTAATTTTACACTTTTTCCCTCCCTTTTTTTTTCCAACTAGCTTTTTGCTGTTACAGAAATGGTAAGGATAATTTTTCTTTAGGATTTTAGACATTGCAGCTTGGAAAGTTTAGAAGGATTTGAAGGCAAGATTTATAGACCCACGATTCTAGAAGATTAGAGAAATATGTAACAACATGAAAATTGTCTCCATGGTATCAACACGTAATGGATGTATTTTACAGAAAGTTTGCAATGAATTTCTTACTTTTTGGAGAACGTCTGGAAGGTCAATGAAAACATTATTTTTGAATGTTTTACTTCAAATATTATGTTTACTGGAATCTTAACATGTTTATCTTCCTTTTATTTTCTGTAGACACAAGCATGGAAAATATAAAAAATGCTTTTAATCATATCACATGGGCAGGCATTAAAGAAAGGGATTTTTTTCTTAATAAAGAAATTGAAAACTTGCAATTTAAAAGATTCATCTAATATGTCTTATGCATCATACACAGAGCTAGCACTAGGCATTTTCTCCACCTGATGCAATCACTGTGGATCCTAAGTTCTGCTTCCTAATGCCTTTCTAAATTCTGCTTCTAATACCTGCTCTAACTTCTAAACGTTTTGCCATTTCTAGATTTTAATGTTCAGTGTGTCACTAAATTCTAAAAATTCTGCCACACCAGCTCTGTAACCGCCTTCTACCATATACAGTGGCTCCCAAAAGTGTTCGTACACTTATGATTTTTATTGAAATAGGCTCTATCCATTAATTAAAAGTAAACTTTCTGAATGAGATTTTAATAATAAGATCTATAATCTATTACCATAACAAAATTACATGAAATATCTTTAAAATATAGTGAAACTTTATTTTTAAGAAATTAATAATAAAAAAATGATAAACATTTTATCTAACAAAGGTCTTCGTACACTGAAATATTTTTGGATAAAATCAAAATTAGAATTACCGTTTGCTGCATTTTTTAATTTTTGCATTGTGGTGGCATTTAAAAAATCGTTTACTGTAATTTTTTATTGTTTACTTCATAATATTCGATTTATTATTGAAAAATGGGTCGCAGTCATAAAGAAATTACAAACAGTATTCGAAAATTGTTAATTTTTCACCACAGTAGTGTTAAATCAATTCGAAATATCACTAAATTAGTTAATTTATCCCATTCTACAGTGCAGTATGTGATAAAACGCTTCAAAGAAGAAAATTGGATTGAAAATAAGGTAAGAAAAGGTTGACCAAGAAAGTTAACTAAACGTGATGAGAGATTTATTATTAGAAAATTGTGAAAAACCCACATTTGAGTGCTGTAAAAGATTCTGCAGAATTTAATGCAAAGTTTTCTACTTCAATTTCACCTTAAATTTATCAACAAGTTCTTAGAGAAGCTGGATTACATGGGCGTCTGCCCGTAAAAAAAAAAAAAAAAAAAAAAAAAAAAAAAAAATTGTTAGTAAGAAAAACAGAAAGCTTAGCCTTTCATTCGCAAAATCAATGATAAATACACCTGAAACAAATAGGAATAATGTTCTATTTGCTGACGAAAGCAAATTTAACATTTTTGGTTCCGATGGTCGAATAACTGTATGGAGGAAAAAAAAATAGGAACTTCATTCTAAGAACGTATTTGGAACAGTTAAGCATAGCGGTGGTGTTCTTGTATGGTGGGGGCATGACAGCATCAGGACTAGGTAATTTGGTATTTATTGATGGCATAATGAATCATTCTCTTTATTTAAATATTTTAAGAGACAATTTAAAATTATCAGCCCAAAATTTGGGTATTAGAAACAACTTTATTTTTAATCATGATAACGATTCTAAGTATACGGCTCTCAACATTCGCCTGTAGTGTCTATAATTGTCCGTGGGTTTTGAAAACACCACCTCAGTCGCCAGATTTTAAACCCCATAGAACACATTTGGAAAGAGCTGGAGGTAGAGTACGAAAACACGACATCAAAACGAAAAGCAAACTCAAAACAGCCATGATGGAAGAATGGATGAAAATTGATACAGAAATTACAAAACAACTTATAAAATCTATTCCCAGACGTTTAAAAGCTATTGTGGATGCTAAAGTATATCCTACTAATATTAATTTAACAAAAAATGAAAATATTTACTATTATGTCAAGATTTTTTTTGAAGTGTACAGAGACTTTTGTGAGATAAAATGTTTGTCAATTTTTGATTATTAATTTCTTAAAAATAAAGTTTCGCTATATTTTTTAAATATTTCGTTCTTATCTGATTGTAATGGTTGTAATTCAGAATTGAGCTTTTTGTCTAATTTTTCATATCTTCCACTTTGTTTCAAACCATAGAGAGACTTTACAAAGCATAAACATACCAGGATTATTTTGGTCTTCGAAACCTGTAGCTTGTTCCATGAAAATTCCTTTTAAATCTCCATTAACATAAGCCATTACAAAATCTACTTGATATAGAATAAGGTCTCGTTCAGCACTGTATGCAGTCACAATTCGTATAGAGCTTGCTCTGGCTACTGGAGCAAACATTTCATTGAAATTGATTCCATGTTCAATTCTAAATCCAGGGTTCGTACGGTCCTTAAGAGTCCTTAAATTTTTTGGAATCGATTTTTGGTCCTTTAAAGGCCTTAATTTTGGTCAAAATCAGTAGAAGGTCCTTAATTTTAATCATCTGGAATTTGTCTGTTTTTACGACTGCCATTTTGAGTTTGAATTAGCATTTTGGAGGAATATTTTTGGCGATTCACTGACATATATGGTTATCTTTTGAATGGGTTCGTGGGTTATAATTTGTTTCTATTTCTAATATTTACTCGAGTTTCATGGGATACTTGGCCCCAACAGCGGCCGAGTGGTAACGTCGCTGAACACTTGTTGTTCGGTCCGAGGTTACAATCGCACGAACGGGCTGGCTGCATGGGTGTTTTCGTGGTTTTCCCCATGTGTAACGTGTATATGAGCCAGTTTCCCTTAAAAAGTCCTCCACAAAGGCATCCCTCCCTTAAGGCAGATAGCCCTCAAGTGCTTTGCCGTAATCTAATAAACCAACCATGGGATACTCGAGTTTCTAAGCAAGAAGTGAAACGTAAGCATTTCGAAATTCATTTTTCGTAATAAAGATCTCTTGAATAATTTTCGTTTTTGGGAATGTGAATTCTTTTATTAAACGGTTCTAAATTTGGCGACTTGTCAACATTTTGGTGATTTTAAGATCAGATTCTGATCAGGATGTTGGGATTTTAATTTTTGAAATAAATAGTTAAAAATACTTTGCTTCTATGTGTACCACCGGTTGAGAATCTCTGCTCTAGACTGATCAAGTATATGACAAAATGAGACAAAAAAAATCAACATAAAGCTAACTATTAGTAAAACATAAATGTCACTTATCTTCTTTCAAATATGTCCAACCTATTATAAGTGTAAAATATTTAATGCTACTTGATAAACTGCTTGAAGTTTATTTTATTCTCAAACTTATTAATAATTATGTTAGTTAATTCATGTTTAGTAATAATGCATACTACTACTTAGGGATCTATTTTATTTTTAGGATGATGTTACAAAAGTGAAAAATCAGGCATAGAATAATATTTTTAATTGAATTTATTCAGGTCCCATTTGCTCATAGGTCCTTAATTTTTTTCATTAATGGCCCTTAAAAGTACTTAATTTCCGTGTGCAGAAATGTGTACGAACTCTGAAATCCTCTGGCAACTAATAGAGCTTTTCTCTTTTGAAATGTTCCATTTGCATTTTATTTCTTTCTAAGAATCCAGGGACACCTTATTACCTTTTTGTTTTGTGGTCATTTTAACGATTTCCATGCACCATTTTTAAAAAGTACTTCATATTTGTTTTGCATACCCTTATGCTAGTCTTCAACATAACTTCCATTTAATGCTTCTTCTAATGTCGGATTTGTGTCTTCTTCAGCAGTTTGTGCTTCTTCCTTTTTTATGTTTACATTGTGTTACACCTTTTTTGATCTTCCTGAATTCCCATGCTTGGTTTTCTTTGGCTGACCCCTCCTCCTTTTAATCTGCATTTCATGTATTGCTTGACTCGAAATCTTCATTATCAGTTGACTCGGCTGATGCGTCTGCCATATACAAGATGTCTTTTGTTATTTCATTAGCCAATGTTTGCTGTACATTCAAAGGTTTTTCCTTCTTTTTATCAGGAATATGTTCAAGAAATAAAACTGCTAAATCTTTATCAGGGTTAGTACTATTTTCAAATTCATCAATAACTCTTAACATCTTGTCTTATAACGATTTTTCTGGAATTTTTATATCACAGCCTGTATGCTTCAATTCATTTGAGTACCCTACAAAAATATGTTCTTCTTCTGATCAAGAATAGAATTTATCTTTAAGCCTTTTATTAAGTATGAAACATTTCCGTCTGAATACGAAGTAAGGTATAATAGTTGGCTTGATGCCAAAAAATAACTCATTTGGTGTCTTGCTTACTCCCAGGGATCGAGTCAGGCAACTATTACATATATAAAAAGCACAATTCAAGGCTTCAGTCAAAAAGAATTGGGAGAGATTACTTTGTAAAACAAATACTTGGCCATTTCAGTTAAAGTCCAATTCATGTGTTCAACGGTCAAGTTCTATCAAGTAGTCATGGGTGCCGAAAATTCTCGTTTAATCCCACGTTTTGAAGATACTTACTATATTCTCCTTTGCGATATTCAAGACCATTATTAGTATGGAAGAATTTTTATTTTTGTTTTTTTCTTAGATGACTTTTGGCTGCAGCTTTATATTTAATGAATGCATTCTTTTACTTAATCTTTAGTTTTAAGAAAACTAACTTTGCAATAACATGATTTACTACCTACAAAGGTAGCAAAATATTGTGAACCACTTTTGGGTAGGACTTTCATAGGTCCATACAAATCTGAATGAATTATATTCAGTAGTTCATCACTTTGAAATTTTGATTCTTTTGGAAAGGGTTGTACAGTAGGTTTACCTTGGACATACATTGCAATCTTTTAGAGATTTGTTATCATTAAATTCAAATTTTTAAGTATGTCATCAGATTTAAATCTTTTAAATTCAGATTCATTTAAATGATCTAATTTTAAGATGCTACTTAACAAAATCACTTACTTCTACTATAGCAGTTCTTTTGGTGCTTGGATATGTATATATAATAAAGATCACCATTACCTGCAATAGTATAGATCCATTCAGTTCTATTACTCTAGCATGTCATTTTGTAAAAAGTACTGAAAAATTATTTGCATTAGCTTTAGATGTTGACAGCAAATTACATTTTAACTCTGGTACACATAGCAGACATATTTTGTCAACTTCTAGTTTCATTGTGAAAGTCATTTGAAGATGAAATTCTGAAAATGACTTTCTGTCATTTTTGCATGTGAGATATACAGCCACTATCTAAGCACTATGAAGAAGTCTGTTGATAAGCAATGTTTATACCACACTAGTTAATTCTTCATAACTAGTATCCATTGTAAAACCTTGATTTCCCTCATTTGATTGCACATGTTTTCAATCAGCTATTTTCTGTCTACATTCAGATGCCTTGTACCCAATTTTTAAGCAGTAATTATGCCTTCAAGTTGCGATAATGTTTTTCAGTAGGAAAATTTTTGTTTGAATTTACCTACCATTTTTCTTCTGTTCTTGACTTCTTTTGAGTATAGTACACATTTTATGAATCTTGAGATATTTTCTGTTTCCTTACTTCCCGTCCCATTTTTCTAGCACTTTGATTTTCAAAGATTTGGGTCTAGTTAATTCATCTCTTGATATGATAGCACATCTAAAATTTTCTAGAATACTGTAGAACAGAAGAATCGATTATAAATCATAGGCTGTGTCTGTTTCTATCAAGCTTATCTCTTATTTCGGATAAACTGTTCAAATGTTCAGACATCATTTCACTTTCATCCGGCTTTCTAAACAAAAGCTGTTTTTAATACAGTAGCCTTCTTCACAGGTCCCTTTGTTTCATATACAGCTTTGAGTTTAATCCTCACAGCATTTGATGTCACACAATACTTTCAACTTTTCAATATGACACAGTTCACTAGAATTAATGATGAGAATTATGTCTATGGGAGCTCTTTGATCAGCTTGTTGCCATTTCTTTTCATCTTCGGTTCCTTTAGCAGTTTCACTTCTTTACCAGTCGTATAATCCCAGTGAGCATTTTTAATCAATACAGCTTCTATTCATAGCTTCCAGCTGTCAAAATTGTGTCTTTTCTGAGCTTTTCTGTAGTATTCAAATGCAACATACAGTCTAATAATACAGTCTCTCATAGCTAAAAAAAATGGAGCCATTAAAAAAAGAAAAAAAGGCTTAACAAAACTTGCATTGGATGAGGCTTAAGAGTTCAAAGCTCAAAACTCCAAAAATTCCATTTTAAAAGAAGTATTTGTCTACTTAGGCACAGTTGAAATGTTCCTGGGCCCATAACCATTGAAGGAAAAATGAGCCCAGGCAGATTATAATGTTAATCAACATTTTAATTAGATAGATGAAAATTGATAGCCTGCGAACAAGAGCAAAAATGAAGCATAACATATATGTATGAAATAACAGCAAGGAAAAGGCAGCAGCACTATTGATGCATACGTAAATATGATGATCCAATATCTGAAAAAATCTGGGATAGCCGAAGTCCCGACCTGTCTGGATCACGGACTTTGTACTATATATATATCTATATGAATATATAGATATATAGATATATATACGTATAATATATAGATATATATACGTACATACAGCAAAAGAGAGAGATGGCATCATCACAGTGTACCTCAATAAGAGAGAACTATTTATATGTCAGAAGAAGCCAAGTTCTAAGCTAAACGGTGGTAAGTTCAATCAGACACAGGTCCCTCTTCAGGATAAAAATATATCTCAAGATGTTTTTCCTCCCATGAAAGAAAAATTTTCTGATAAATCTATGCCAAACTAAGACTGCTTTTTTTGCCTAATTTTAAATTTTACATTGGCAAGTTCTGTTCAGATGAGGGACGTGCTCTAAGTATTAAGATTAAGGGTACATCATCAGTCAACTAATTTCGAGAAACATTAGGTACTGTTCATAAACAAACATTTTCATTTTCCTAATTAATATGCAAAGTATTATGAAAGTGTCTATTTATATGTTTTTAGTTATATTTATATTAAATTAATTAAATTCCAGTCCTATTTTGAAAGATATTTTTTCCTTGACTTTTAATGTGACCACTTTAAGCACCACCTACTGTACTTTATATTTCCATTTGTGTGAATTATAGTAGAAATAGTGTTATATTTATCTGCACAATCATTGACCATAACTGTGGGTAATGATTCTTATAAGCAGTTAAGTTTCATTATTATGTAATTAAATTTTTAAATGTTCAACACCTGTTAACATCAAATTTGTACTTTCAACACTCTGTTTGTTAAATCTCCTTCAGAATTTGGTCATAATTAATAACTAAACCAAACTAATTTAAGCTCATAAATCTTTGTAATCTTTTTTTGAAGGTCATTGTATATATGATAGTTATGTTGAGCATTGTCTATATCAAATGTCATAGTTAGAGCATTTTTAAGTCCTTCATTGCTTTCTTGAGTCTGTTGTATCAAGAGTACTTCAATTAATGAATGAAAAAAATTAAATTATATAGAGGAAAAAAAAATAGATATTTTGTTGAGTGGATGTTTATTAACTAGTAATATTGATAAGCTCGATTTCCGTTATATCGGAAGCTGAAAATTATTCTGTCTCTTTCCTAATGAGATGCTTGTGATAATTTGGAATTTATTAAATTTCTGTTAGAAGAACTTAAAAATTATGTGATTAAGCAATTACTTTTGTAATAGTTTCAATTATAATTATGCAATTTTTGTTCAGGTCAGCTGGCTGGGAATTTTAAATCTAAATGCTAACAAGCTGCATAAATCTAAGGGAAACAAATTCATACTTGCATATTTCAGAACAAATTTTATGCATGCATTTGTCCATTTTATTTTCTAAGTACAGTTATATTCTTTATTTGATTTCAGGTTGGAACTGGACCAGAAATTATTCAGGATCCTGCAGAGCATTTATTGAATGAATTTGGACTTCCTTTGTAAAGTTTTAAAAGCAGAAAATTTTATTTTTTTTATGAATAAAGTTAGTTTTCAAAAACTCTGCTGTTTTATTTCATCTGTTAAAATCTTGTTAAGCAAATGTCTGCCATTATTTTAGTTAGCATTTAAAATCAGCCTTGAAGCATTCATGCTTTTTCTTTTGGATTTACAGCACGTGAAAGCCTTGATCACTTTGGTTTATGATTGAAGAAGGAGCTTTAAAGTTTGTCAGTTATTGGTAATGAATTTAAATTAACCTTCTTAATATGCTTTAAATGAGAGTTTAGATAGGAATCTCTCTTGTGATAGAGCCTTGGTATCTATTATAAATAGATACTGATAGTTCCTATTATTGCAATTACTTTCTGTATCTTTATTAACCTTGAAAATAAAAGCAGTGATAATATATACCTGTAACTGTATTTATAACATATAAAAACTACAGGCTATGAGTTACAAAATTTTAATTTGTATGCTCATGTAACTGCCTATAAAGTTGTTTTTTACTTTTTGTCTGGTCATTCATTAGTCATAGGTTCTGTTAAGATAACAACTAATCTTAAGCAGCATGATTATAGATCAGGTGTTCTCAATGGGGTCAATACTGACCTCCTGGTGGTCAATGATGACCAAGGGGTGGATAACCAAAAATGCACTGGCAGTTGATTTGCATAATGATGATCCAATGGATTGCAAAAAATTAATATTGTAAATTGATAATTGTTTTATGGTATTAAGCTATATCATGTAGTAAGAAAGAAAGAATTTAGAATAATTAAATGGGTAAAATGCGCAAAAATTATTTAATATTTTTAATACATAAATTTTTTATGCAAAACGTGCAATATAAAAAGGGTCAGGTGCAGGAACACGAAAACACAACGAAAAAATTAAGAACACAAAACTTCTTCAGAAGACATTTTTTTTTTAAATGTAAGACGCTTGTAAAATCTAAAAGGTTTTTATATCTGCTGGTAAGACGTTGAAAATTTGAATGTGCTGGCATAGCTCACGGAACCACTGAATTAGGATATATTTGATCTTGATATTATGAAGCAAGAAGAATTGATTGTGTTAAAGGAGGATGTTCAAGCACAAGTTTATCTAGAAAACGTGTGTGTTAAGTTTTGGAATTAAAGAAGTCATCAGAGAAAAATTTCCAAAATAGAAGCTACTGAACAAGTTTATTGACCCTTTTCCTATCTAGTAGAAGAAAGCATTAGTCAAGTCAATAATTTACTATGGAAAACAAGAAACAGTTGAATATTTTTTAAATGAGGAGTTAAAAATTAATCAGTTTCAAGCCAAATATTAAAAGACCACATCCAAATGAAAAAATCATTTTAATTAAAATTAAACTTTCGTGCAATAAGAATCTAATTTTATTTCTGACAACTTCTTTATATTTGTAAAATGAATAATAGTACAAAAATAATAAAACAAATCTACTAAAATGTTTTCTTCAAAACTTTTTTTGATAATTATTAGTCTAATTGTCATTTATTGCAAAAGTTATTTGTGTGCTGTTATTTATATTAATATTTTTTGTGCTGTATATTATAGAGAAAAATGTAAGAGTGCCAATGAAGAAAACTATTCTTTTAAAAGGTATCGATGCAAAAAAAAATTGTGAATCTTTGATATAGATAGTACTTAAGTAGATATACAAAGTAGGCATACTTCATAAATTTATCATGAAAATTTTAAGTGAATAGATCGTTTCATTTGGAAATTTTATAATTAAAATTTAAAATGTTGGACATCTTTTAGCATCAGATTTGTTTTTAATTTAGTAATCTTTCGGTTTTTCACAAAATCCCTTCAGAACTCTGGCATAGTTAGCAGTTAAAAATCAGACCCTTCTTTAATTAAGTCATTTGCATGTAGGCTTACTAAAAATTATTTTTACCTACTTTGATAAAAGTAACAGTACATGAACTTTTGCAATTATTGCAATCTGATAGTTTATTATTATACAAGGTGAATTGAAATTTTTCGAACACCTGCCGTTTTCACTGTGTGAGAAATTAAAAAGAAAGGAAGAATTGCTACTTTTTATGTGAAATATAACAAACCTTGTATGCAGTCAATCCAGTAAGATCATTTGTCATTAATGTTTTCAACAGTTGAATTCAAGTATAACTTTATATACTGGATCTCAAATCATGGTGGATTAATTTTTAAACTAGTAGATCTAGTGTCAAAATTAAATTGAAGCTACAAATTATGCTGCATTTACTTTCATTTTGTTTAAGAAAATTGAGGGTAAAATTTTGAGGATAGTTTTTTTTTTTTTTTTTTTTTTTTTTTTTTTTTTAATTTAATTTGTGAATGTCTTGTGTGTTTTGAAGAGTATTTCTGAGACTTTCAGCTACAGTGATATAAATAGGAACTTATTTGAGGATGAAATAATTATTCTTTCAAATTTTAGTCAAGTTAGTTGAGAACCTTCACTTGGGGACAACATTATTGAACCATTTTCAATGTAAAAATTTTAGTGTGTGAATTGACTAATGATTTTTGGCAATGACACTCTTTTGCATGAAGACTTTTCACATTTGAAGCAGTAGTTGGTAGTCTCCAATAGGAGCAGCATGACCATTGATGCAGTATTGGGAATAATTCAATTACATAATTAATAATTGGATTACAATGTTATTTCAAACATAATTAATTTAATTATTATAAGTAATCAATTACATAGTAAACTAATTTAATTACTTATACTTCTAATTACAATGTATTTGCAATTTCATTTAAACCAGTTATAATGTAACTATAAATCGGGAAACTACAGTAAAATTTTAACTGCAGTTAGTTCAGTTACAAAGTAATTGCGATTCCAGTTCAGTTACAATGCAATTGTATCACAAATTGTGCAATTACAACATAATTGTAATTACAGTTAATTCAGCTATTGTGTAACAAAAATAATCTTAAACTTTCATGTGCCCTTGTATCTAACAATTCTAAGAATATTGCCATTCAGCAAAGCATAAGATCTTTAATTTATATTTTAAATTTAAGCTATCTTTTATGGCTGAACGAAGTTGGTAATTCATTATTTTACTTTATTCTTAAAACTATAATTGTGGTTATAACATAATGGCATTTAGAATTACAATATAACTAAAAAAGCAATTAAATTTTTGATTTAGCAGTAATCAAGTAATAAAACTTTTTGTGACTAATGGTATATCGTTTAGGGTCGAATTTCTGCCAATCTAGATGTTTGGTACCTTCGGTTTTCATTCCTTGAATACAAGCCAGTGCCCTTTGGTAAGTCCTCCACAAAGACATCCTTACCCTTAGTTACTTTAATGCCCATAATTAAACAACTCGTACTTTTGCTTAACAAATGAGACATTTATTTTTATACGAAATATTTCCTGCATAAACAATTTGCATACAGCAAAACTTACTTTAACTGTATACTGTAAATATGCTTTGAATTTAATAAAAACCTAATTCATATTTAATACAATCACTATAAGCAGCAGTTCACACTTTAATTAAGATTAGTCTCGGATAGATAATAATGCAACTTTTCTGCTGGCAGTTATCAACTTATAATGTCATTCTAATTGCAATTACATTTTGCCCAACTCCGATGAGAACAGATTCATTACTTGGAACATTTATGAAAGATTTGCATTTACTATTGCCTCTAGATGGTTGAACGTTAAAATTGTAAAAATCATTAAGAGAAAAGTAATACTTAAACTCGATTTTTCTATTTTCTTTAGGTAAAAAAATTCGATTTTTGGTGCAAAAATAAAAGGTCTACGTACAAAGATAATATTGCAATTTTTTAAAATTATTTAGTGTCATTAAATATCGGTTTTAACAAAAATTTCCCGCCACAGCAAATATTATCTGCGCAAACAGTTCGCGTTGGCTTGTTTAATGACATTTTATCTCACGATTTTTGTCATTTAAAAGAAAGAGACTTCCTTTAGAATATTGTGTTGTGAAATTTTTAAAACAATGTCCTTATCATTAAGTACAACAGCCCCACCAGCGGCCGAGCGGTAAAGTCGCTGAACGCTGGTAGATCGGTTCGAGGTTCGAATCCCGCTAACGGTCTGGCTGCATGGGCGTTTTCGTGGTTTTATCCATGTGTAACGTGTATACGAGCCAGTTTTGTTAGAAAGTCCTCTACGAAGGCATTCCTCCCCTTAGGCAGATAGCCCTCGAAGCTTTACCATAATCACACACACGTTAAGTACAACATGTCTGAAATGCAATTATTAGGCTACCAGATTAGAACCATCATTCCGAGTTCTGTTGCAAAAGGTCAGCTACAGAATGTCAAAAAATTATGTATACAGCTTTAGGTACTAATATTGTATCATATGACACTGTGAAGGTTTAGTACCTTAAGTTCAAAAACAAGGACTGTGATATTCAAGAAGCAGAGCACTCTAACTGGCCTACTGATGTTGATGAGGCCCGTCTGGGAGAACTTGTGGAAGAAGACCAGTATGCAACCACTCGAGAGCTTGCTAAGGAGTTAGGCGTTAGTGCCATGTCAATTAGTTGGAATATGCATTGCATAAACTTTACATACAAGTCAGGGCTTAATTACTAAAAATAGGAGTGCCGGAGTCCTATGGAAGACTGTGAGGAACGAAGGAAAAATAATTAAATTTAAATTAAAAGAAATGTAAAAAGAATATACATAAACAGAAATATAATAAATTAATTAAGTGTATCATGAATAGTTAAACAGAAAAAAGTGTCGGACATTGTCTTATTTGAAGCTCCGGCTGGAATTCAATTTCGACTCCAAAGCTAAAAGCAGCTCAGCCGTTCTCCGTCTAAATTTAAGCCTTGATTATATGATTAATGTAATATTTCAGAAGATGACAAATACAAAATCTTTTTTTTTTTTTTTTTTTTTTTTTTTTTTTTTTTTAGCGCACTAATGAAAAAATATAAAACGATTAAACTAACGTTCACGGAGAATAGCGAAAATTCTAGAAACAATTTCAAGATATGGAAGTAAATTTTAACGGTAAAGTGTAGCTTTGAAAATAAAGAGAGAAGAGTCCAAGATTTTTTTATCACGATGCCCTATCGATATAATTCTAGCCGTCAAGCAGAAATTTTTCTGAATCCGATTCGATAACAAACAAGTGACAGTAGTGGTCCTCGCGTTTGGTTACATCATCATTCAAAAAGTCAACAGGAGCTCTGAAGTAGGAGTCATTAGAATGGTACGTCCATGACAAGTTTGATCATTTGTAGTGCTTTCAGGAATGAGCAATTTATTCGTTCTCTTAAATTCATTGCCCATCCTGGATATGTATACACGTGGGTGGAGGCATTTCTTTCATTAAAAATCTAACCTTCTGTCCAAGATTTGAGTTCGAGGCGAAGACAGGCAAGCATTGAGAGGTTAGAATCGATTTTTAAAGCATATATGTATTATGAAAATAATAGTTGACTTCTGAAATTGTAGTTTTCTTACATAAAAAAGTGCCGGAGCCTTATTATATAAGGGCTGCAATGTGGTCCAACTAAAATTATGATTTATGTAAAGAAACTGAGAAATATCGGCGAGATGCTGGGCTCCGGTGAGCTCCGACGCAATTTAAGCTTTGGTACTTGTTCAATCGCCGCTGTGACTCAAGCGGACAAGAATAGACGTTTTCTGGCCTGCACTAATCACCTCTAATATCAACGCAAAGAATGTCAGCGTGGCTAATAAACATGACGCTAACGTCTTAACTCCTTAGCAAGCCCTCGAGTGGTTGTATACTGGTCTTCTTCCACAAGTTCTCGCAGGCGGACCTGATCAACATCAGTAGTCCAGCCAGAGCCTTGTGCTTCTTGAATGTCATAATCTTTGTTCTTGAACTTTCGGTACCAAACCTTCACAGTGTCTTATGATACATTAGTACCTAAAGCTGTATACAATATTTGATGACATTCTGTAGGTGACTTTGAAGTAAATGATAGTTCTAATCTGGTAGCATAGTAATTTCATTTCAGACACATTGTACTTAATTGTAACGATAATTTTTAAAAAATTTCACAATACGGTGTTCTAAATATGTGTTTTACAACACAGTCTCTTTATTTCAAAAGCCAAAAATCATGTGGTATAATAAACACGCCAACTCGAAATGTTTGCGCCTGGCAAACTTTCCTTAAAAATATTTCAAAGAATGGGTGGCAACATGTTCAATACGATACCAAAACAAGTTCGATTCTCGTAAGAAAGTTGTTAAAGTTTCATCGTATTTTGAAAATAAAATAAATTTCGTGCTGAAAAGTTTAAAATTTGTTCAAAATCTTAATTCAAATTCAATAAATTATATTGTTTTACTTCTTGAAAATCGAACGATAAATATTCACGTTTTTTCGTGTGAAGTGTTAAGAATTGTAGTAGACTATTGCGTGCTTGTTGTTTTTTCCGATATATGAGATGTTCATTATTACATTATAATATCTGAAATACAGTCTCATAGACTAATATTGATTGAAGTTTCTGTATCAATGATTTAGCAACCGGTAAGTGTGATGGGCGGGGCACAAGATCACCGCTTTTTAATTATTAAAGTGTAATGAAATAATTTCTAAATTGAATTAATTATTTTCCATTATATTTCAGAAATCGGGCACTAAAGGTTTATCTTTTGAGAAAGATATGTGGGTTAAGTTTGTACGTTGTTTAGCGAAAGTGGTTGTGCACGTATGCCCTTTCTTAAAATTAACCAGTTTGACAATAAGACTGTAAATTCAGATTAAGGTTTGTAAATTTTATTTGTATTTTATTTTACTAAAAGGCAAGTGTTAAAATTTTTTTAACATTTGTTTGGATTGCTGCTAACGTTAGAAACTTAGTATAATCTTTTGTCATATATTTAACTATTTATATTTTCTTCCCTGCTTGGCCTGCTTCTCTGCAATTCATTGTGTATTACTATTTATTATGTTAAAAATTAAGTTTTCAGCCCAGTTTTTTCCAAATCAAATCAGTGTTGAGACTGAAGAGGTGTAGTACATCTGTAGCAATACGCTTGGGGGTCATTTCTCTTCGTAAACTGTGAAATGATTTTATGGATTAAGGTTTTCTGCTGATGGTTTTGAGTTTTACTGCAAAATGTCAGTATGTTAATCGTGCATTACACAAATGATGACGTAGCATATTTTTTCATGTAATTAACTCCTCCTTTACGATATTTTGTAAATGAAACTAAGTTCTGTGTCTGAAACTCTTTGGGTCTCTTGTATATCAGGAATTAATCATTTGAAATAAATTGTGAGGAAATATTACATGATTCATAATTTTTATTTGTCATAGATTTTGCAGTAACATATTAATTTCTCTTTCTGGATCCAGTAGCTTTCTTGAAGCAATCATGAAAACAGAACATTGAACTAAAATAAGGTCTAAAAAATGCTTCGAACCAGACTACAGTAAGACCCCGCTTAACACTGTTTCATTTAGCGCTGTTTCAGTTTAATGCTCTTTTATTTGAATTGTGGGATTCCCCAAAATTGCACGCAGTGTTAGGCTTCCGGATATGCGAAGCAGTTATTTGGTTTCTTCTTTCCTGTGGTGTTATATGAATGTATTTTTATCGTTTCAAACATTTCTTGATGTTATTGTAAGTATAAATTTATATATTATAACGATTGATATAGTGACAAATATTATGATTTTTAGTTTTTATCATGGGTGATAATAAAAAACACGAAAATAAAGCAACAAGAAAAAGCATTTCACTAGAAACTAAAATGCAAGTGATTAGAAGATTAGATACTGGTGAACATCAATCTAAAATTGGTGCTGCATTGAATTTGGCAATTTCAACAATAAGGACTATTCTTAAGAATAAAGAAAAAATACTGTCATCGGCAACTGCAACTACGACAAGCTCTGCAACTAGAATTATACGTTCTAGAAATAATACAGTAGAGGAAATGGAAAAACGACTTTCTATATAGATTGATGACGAAATTGAACGCAATATGTCATTAAGCCAATCTATTATAATGGAAAAAACAAAAAGAATTTTTAGTTATATTCAGGTTGAGGCAAGTGACATTGTATTTCATCCATTATTACAAAAGTGAACTTGTACCTGTATTTTGGCAGTTTTTTTTCGATGAGTTGTAATCATTCCTAAGGGTAAGACTAAACATATTTTAGGTATACATGTTTTAGATACTGAAAATGTTAAGTGTATGCAGCTATACGAAAATTAGTCAATTTAATGCCCTACACTTGTTTGCCAAGTTAGTTAAAGAAGTCTGCTCATTCTGTTTACTGAAGATCATTGTCCATTGCTCATTACACTAAAGATGTGAAGAATTAACATGTAGAAAGAAAGATAGGTGAAATAATTATTCCTTTAGTAATGACTGTCTGTCTCCAGACTTTTTATATTGCAATAAGCAAGTTATTAAAGTATCATTTTATGCATGGAAATCATTGATTACATTTCACGTAGAAAGGGAAGAAATCAACATGCATTGCCTAGCCTGCAAGATGTTATGACTCAGGTAAATAATTCATAAGATGAAATAATTAGCAGCTGTAATACCAATGTATTATGATGTATTCTTTCATATCTAGTAATAGGAATTCATTTAAGAATTCCTATTACTAGATATGAAAGACTAGGGCTAATAGTTTTATAAGAAATGAAGTTGCAAAAATTTCAGGCCTTAATTCGAGGATTTAGAGCTTTATGATGATGTTTTGAAAGAAGATGCTATGACTGTAAAGTAAGTGAAAATTTTAAAATCGTGAAAGAATTAATAAATGTAGATTCTTGAATATGTAAATAAACTGTATTGTAAATGACTAATTGTTAATTGTTTGGATAGAAAAATAAGATATACCCTGAAAATAAGCCCTAATATTTCTTTTAGAGCAAAAATTAATATTAAATCTACGAAGCGTATTCGGAAACTAAGTACCGTTTTGAAAAAAAAAAAAAAAAAAAAAAAAAATAGTAAAACAATTTTTTCAAATCCAGTTTTATTTTTACATGAAAATACATGTCTTAAACTATTTTTCAACATAGTTTTTGACAATGATCAAACACTTGTCATAGCGGGTGACCAGTTTTTGTATACCATCCTCAAAGAAACTTTCCGCCAGTTTCGATAACTACGACTCCACAGCATTTTTTGTGTCATCGTCAGATCCAAAGCGCTTGCCACCAAGCTCGTGCTTCATGTACAGGAACAAGTGATAGTCGGACGGTACCAAGTCCGGGCTGTATGGTGGGTGATCGAACTGTTCCCAATGAAACACTCAAATTAACGATTGAGTGACACCAGGAGTATGGGGCCGAACATTGTCATGAACAACACAATTCCTTTGCTGCGCATTCCTCTTCGTTTATTTTGAATGGCACACTTTAGTTTTGTTAAAGTCTCACAATATCGTGCCGCATTAATGGTTTCACCTCTGGGAAGAAATTCAGTAAGCAAAACGCCTTTCCTATCCCAGAAGACAGTGCACATGATTTTTTGTGATGACATTGTCACTTTGAACTTTTGTTTCGGAGAATGGGTGTGTCTCCACTCCATCGATTGTTGTTTCGATTCTGGTGTGAAATGACACACCCAAGTTTCATCACGTGTCACAGTTTGGCTTAAAAAGTTTTCTCCCTCATCACTGTACCGCGTGAGAAATGTCAGGGCACTATCAAGTTGCTTTGTTTTGTGAACATTAGTGAGCATTTTTGGAACCCATTGGGAACACAGTTTGTGATAATTCAAGCGGTCAGACACAATTTCGAACAAAACAGTACGTGAAATTTGTGGAAATGCCTCTGAAAGAGTTGTCATTGTGAAGCATCTGTTCTCATGAATTGCTTCATCAACTTTCCTTACCAAATCATCAGTGACAACAGAAAGCCGACCACTCCGAGCCTCGGCGTGGACATTTGTTCGGCCTGCATTAAACAAACGTACCCACTTTCTCACCATTCCATTACTTATTGTGTATTCACCGTAAACTTCTGTCACTTGACGATAAATTTCGGCCGGTTTAACATTCCTCGCGTTCAAAAATTTAATCACGGCATGAATCTCACAGTCAGCGGGAGAACTAATTGTCTTAAATATTTTGAATGTGCACAGCAAACTGAAAACACAACATAGAGCAACCAAAATAGTGACAATTGAAAGTCAGTGAACAAGAAAGACTAGTGCGCATGCGCAGGACACCTACCACAGAGTTGCGACGGCACTAGAATGAAACGGTACTTAGTTTCCGAATACGCTACGTAGTTTTATTGTGGAGGAAACCCATTACAGTCAAAAGTCTTTAATCCGGATTCGTTGGGACTTCGGCGATTCCGGATTATCGGTTTTTCCAGATTATAGATCATCAGTTTAAATCTGGTAAGATGGCATGCAGAAATTATAAAATTAAAAATATGAAAACGTAATTTATGAAATAAAGAGCAATTATGATCTAAAGGGTATCAAAATTTACAAAACAAAACAAATAAATAACTAACTAAATAAAAATAAAAGTAAAAATAAAAATAAATAAATAAGTAAAATAAAAGCTTAATATTTATTTGTTTACTTTATTAAACATTTCTTTCAATGTAAGTTGTTTAAGTTGCTTCGTTTTATGTGCTAATACTTTCTCTTTAATTCTATAAACAGACATAATTTCTTGTTCAGTTACAAAGTTCCGCTGTTCAAGTCCTATAATTGCTGTGTCAAGAATACCGACTAATTTGCCAATCGAAATTTTTTCATTTTCAATAACCTCTCTGTCACTTTCTTCACTATCGGAAGTGGTACATCAAAACATGCTTTCGCTTTGTAGATGCTTTGGCAGCTCCAGAATCGGAAACTCTTTTTGACATAATCGAAAGTTCAAGCTTACTTTTTATAAAATTGCTCTAACAATCTGCAAAAAATAATAAGCCGGATCTAATTAGAAGATTAAGGAACAACGCAATTTGCAACATTAACTGAAATAGATAATTGGATAATTTTAGCCTAGCTTATACCGTCCGTTATATATTAAACGCGTATGCGCAGAAAGTTTGTAGCTTTGAGGTCCGGATTATAGATCATTCTTGATTATAGACGTTCGGATTAGAGACTTTTGACTGTATATTTAATTGTACCCACGCGTAACAGTAAAACATGCCCTTAATGTTACATGATGTGAAGTACTTTGTCTTTTTTTTTCCTTTCACCTATCTTAAATTACCTGAAATGAAGTGAAATGGACAATGAAATTTTCATCACGACATGCGTGCACATTGATTTCTACTGGCCATACACTTACTTGCGCCAGGAATAGTACTAAATTGCTTTTTTCCATCCTGCCTATTCTTCCAGCTTTGCATCTTCTAATTTTTATATCTTTTGATTGATTGAGTAAAATGGGCAGAAATGCTAGTTTATTATAGCAAGTGAAGTTAAATTAACATCAAAGAATGTTTTATGGATGATTGCAAAAGATAATTTATAGCAGTGCTTCCAGAAATATATAAGTGCTGGTAAAAGTGTTTCCATAATTCTTGAACTTTTAGATACAGCATTATTTTCGACAGCCAATCTCATGAAGTGAGAGCTTCTTTTATCTCTCCCTATGAAAATTCTCTAATACGGAGAGTTCTTATTGGGAAAGGCTACTTATAGAGAGAGGCTTTGTATGCATAATTCACATAATTGGTACTATTTGAGATAAAAGTGCACAAAATGAGCTCCCATAAGAAAATTAACAGAAGTGATAACTCAGATTCTGCCTTTAGCCTTTTGTGGATAAAGGTTGCTCTTTCTCATTACTCTGAATATGAAATAAGAGATAGATCTGATGAAGGTAATTTCTAATAATTTCTGAAAGTCTGCAAACTTTATTAGAATCGAAATGACATCAAGCATCAAAATGTAAGATGGGATCCACTCAAAATGTGTCTGTATTCATGTAATAAAATAATAAATACATTCTTCATTTTTTAATATTTTGTTTGTTTTTATAGTATCAAAATATATTTTTAATTGTACTTCATTTTAATTTTTCAGTGATTTCATCAAGAAGAGTTATGGCTTCAGAAAAAGTTAGTATATTTGTAGTTTTGAAATTTATATATAGGTTTTATTTCTACCAAGTAATAATGGTATTTATTTTATGAAATATATAAAAATGACTTATTTATTTATTTAAACTAAAACATCAAACTGTCTTGATCGTTTCCTAGATGTTAAATGAAAATGAATAAAAAATTTTATGGCTTAAGAAATATATGGAAATAAGCAGTGAAATACGTACAGTCTATATTTTACTTTTTCGCGATCTTTAAATTTCCTCTACTTAAATGAATAACAAGTTCTTAAGTGGGAGAAAAAGTAGTTGATCATGTTTTTTTCCCCATCCATTGTTTCAATTCAGATCATGGGAAGAAAGCTAAGCAGTCTTTGCGTGATATTTCTGTATAAAGCAATACTTTGATAAGATATTTATGAATGCATGTTTATAGTGATGTTGTTGTTACTAATCTCCATGCCTAGAAATATACTAGACGAGGTCCACGAGTCCATTCACCTTTAAAAAATCGAAAACAAGCTTAGGAGACCCGTAAAGGTCCACAAGAGACAACTCCAGGCACTCAAGGATATGTGCTGGTGATGCGGGTGCATTGTGACACTTAGAACAAATTGGGTGCATCTTGATACCACTCTTAAAAGTAAGTCCCCTCAGGTGCCCACTAAAGAATCGGGAAAGTGCTGTTTGAACACATTTTTCGCAATCCATAGCAAGGGATCTTCCAGGACAATCAGCTTGATACCAGGGATGACTCGGGGGAATGAGCCAAATTTGCCTGTCAGCATGTCTTCTAATGGATTGCAGTTCAAGATATGTCAGTGAATTGATAATTGGCAAAGGTTCTTCAGAAGCCTCCTTTGCCAGAATATCTGCCATTTCATTCCCCCATATATCAACATGGGAAGGAATCCACTGAAGATGCACTTCACAGAGTGGCGAGACCTGCCTAAGTTTGCTAAGAATTGCAGCTCCAGCCCTATCACCAACTCTTTTTCTAGTTTGAAAGATATTTGATAGCGCTACGACTGTCAGACAAAATCCATACTGCCTTAAGATCTGTAAAGTACAAAACAGCATTTAGTCCCTCTTCGATGGCCATAAGCTCACTCTTAAAAACCGAACTGAAGTCAGAATTTTTTTTTCTTTATTTTAACAATATTTCCATTTGTGCATTTAATGACAACACCACTGCCAGAGCGAGAGTCCTTGCTTTTACTTCCATCAGTATAGATGAGGGTAGCTTCAGCGGGAATTGCATGTATAGTTTCCAAGGCAGATTGTCGTAACAGGGCCGGAATATCATTTTTCTTGGAAACTCGAGACGAAAGTTACGCATGGAACGTTTATAGTGATTCATTATTAAAATGTGATATTTATTACTAGGATCAGTTGAGTTGAGTATAAGCAAATCAAAAGTTAAAAAGGTGGGAAAATGTCATAGGCTAAAATAATGAGGAAGTTAAGAGTACTGCAGCTATAATAATAAAGCTTTTGCAGAGTAGCTATCAAAGCTTTTTCTTTAAGTGACAAATTAAAAAGACTTTCTTTCCTACTCTTTGTCTTTAGTAATAATAATAATAAAAAATTCAGTCTAGCCAAATAAGCATGCATCCCTTTGTTTCTTTCCCACTCTCTTTGTTATTTAAAAAAAATCATTATAGCCAAATAAGCATGCATGCCTTTCTTTATAAAAAGGAAGATAAGTTGATCCTTGTCTTTTCTTTATTTATTTCTATATAAACATTAGGATAACATTTCACTTTTCTAATTATCAAGCTTTTAGAAATCTAATGAAAATTTGTTCTAAACATTTTTATTCAAAATTGGTTTTCATTAAACAAAAGGCATGTAGAAGTAAAAGCCCTTAAATTAAGAAATGCATATTTTTATTGCTAGCATTTGTTTATGATATCTCTACATTTAATAAAAGAGTGTGTATGTCTTTCGTTCATGTAGTGCGTGAAATTTGGTACATAGGTGCATCTAGACAAAAGCCAGTGCACCTTGGAGCAATTTTTTCAAAATTCATATCGGATTGTTTTTTATCTTATCGTTCTTGATGAAATTGCATCATTTTGAATAGTTTAATTCTTTTAGAAATGTGGTTTTGGCAACAGTTCTTCATTCAATGATTTGTGTACTGGACTGCTTACTGTTAAAAATCAGCACTGTTGCCACCTGGAAAAATGAGCGAGATAATGCTGTGCAGTTTTTAAATTTAATGTTTCTCTAGGATATTGGATGCTTGTCGAGGGAAGGCAATGGAAAGTTGGTTAATTTATTTATTAGGATAAGTAATATTTGTGTTAAGGGATATTGTTTATTTCATTGTAATTTTGTTATATGTAATACATTTTTATGGAAATTTGTGTCTTTTTTGGGGGGGGGATAAAGTCAGTTTTTAAATTCAATGTTTGGTGTTTCCTTTAGGAGGCATTTTCCCAGTACATTTAAAAGCCAGACGAAGGCTTGCCACATAGCAGCTAGTATTTTTATATTATATAGGTGCAAGATTTTTATGACTGCATGAATTTTAATTTTGTAGGCTTAGTCACTGATGGACCAGATCCTGGGTGCAAGATCTCTTTCTTATCCCTTAACTTCTGATATCCAAGAGTGAATTATAAATTTCATTGATTCACAGAACTGTTGATTTCTTCCTTTGAATTAATGAATTTGATCATTTCCTCATTTATTTCTGGCTTTCTTGTACCTCTTTTTTCCGTCTTTCTTAAGTTAATGTGCTATATGCCTATATGAAGTGATAATATTTGATCCACTGGCAGGGCCATCTATGGGTCCACTGATCATTTGCCCAAGGGCCCTATGAGCACAGGTGCCTCATATTATTTCATTTCTGTGCATGCTTGTCATAGGGGCCCCAGCACTCTCATTTGCTCTCAGGCCTTTGATGCTGTTAAAGCGGCACTGTCCACTGAATATCTTAATATAGTACAAAGTCCGTAATCCGGACTCATCGGGACTTTGGCGATTCAGGATTAGGGGTTTTTCCGGATTATAGATCATTAATTTAAATCTGGTAAGATGGCATGCAGAAATTGTACAATTAAAAATGTAAAACTGTAATTTATGAAATAAAGAGCAATTATGATCTAAAGGGTATCAAAATTTACAAAAAAAAAAAAAAAACTTAATATTTATTTGTTTACTTTATTAAGCATTTCTTTCAATGTAAGTTGTTTAAGTTGCTTCGTTTTTTGTGCTAATACTTTCTCTTTAATTTTATAAACAGACATAATTTCTTGTTCGGTTACAAAGTTCCACTGTTTAAGTCCTGTATAGCTTTGTCGAGAATACCGACTAACTTGTCAATCGAAATTTTTTCATTTTCATTAACGTGTCTGTCACTTTCTATGGGAAGCACTCATGGATAGATGCTTTACGCTTATCCGTAGAGGATGCAAACATTAAACGCACATGCATAACTTTGTAGCTTTGAGGTTCGGATTATAGATCATTCCGGATATTGGACTTCCGGATTACAGACTTTGTACTGTATGTTGTTAATTTTAGGTTGCTGATGGTCTCCAGAAATTAAAACAGAACAGAAACATTAATCCAGAAATCTCCAGTTTTGTTTGGGAATGCTACTTTTATTGTGGGAAAAGATTTTTGCTTTATTCTTGAAATTTTACTAAGACAAATACCGTATCATTTATACGTAAAAAAATTTGAAATATTCAAGCCTATTAAAAAAAAGTATGCAAAGAATTGAATTAATAACAATTATCATTTCAATCTTCAGTATTAAATTCATATGTACACAATTTATCAATGTAATTTCTCTCAGAGTCCTGTTTAAGAATAGATAATCTGTAGCAAGTTAAGGTAAAATTATTTTCAAAATTTACACTCATTAAACTAAGAAATGCGTTTGTGAAAAAGTCAGAAGTTGTTTTTAACAAAGACTTGTTTTAAACTGTTATCTGTACAGGACTACTTCAGAAAGAAATTAGGCAGAAATTAGCTTCTGTTTGATTTTTTAAATTCTTTCATGTTTTGCATTTTTGAAAATTGATTTTAACCTCTCATAAGTAATATTTGTAAGAGCTTAATTATTCGTACATTTCATACAGGGTTTAATTTCTAAAATTAGAAGTGTTGGTGCCTTAAGAAAGACCATCAGAAAGGGTGAAAAAAAAAAGAATACAATAATATTTTTGAGGTTTCAACAGGAGTTAAAGTTTCATTCAGAAATTAAGAAGCTAAATTACTTTAGCTGATTCCAGTGTACTTCTGCATAATTTAAGCTCCTGATTTATAGCTGAAGAACTAATGTTTATTGGGATCAACAAACAAGCACTGTTTAATAAAGTTCAGAGAATTTCTTGAAATTACTGTTTCCAATTCAAAATGAGCAGCAGAATTCCATATATATATAAACTGACTGTGTTAATAGCTTATCTGAATAAAACATTTTGAATAATTGAATTGCCTTGTTTCTAGAGATTGAGTCATATTTAACCTTTTCCCAGGGGTTGGGACATATATGTCCCGAGCAACGTGTACGGCAACTGGGGGCCCGGGACAGTTTTTCCTTGGTCGCAGGGGTAGGAATTCTAACGCTTGAGGCTTGACGACTATTTTACGACACCGTAACAAGTGCGTTCTTTTGAGGGATTCCGCTAATGGGTAAGGGTAATCGTCCGTAGTTTGAACCCACATGGCTTGTTTGCGAATTCGGTGTCTTCCAGGAAATATTTTCTCAAGAGGAGAAAATAAAAAGACTAATTTGTTACTTCGATTCTCGCGCGTTTGCAATTTTAAGATCTTTCTTCAATTTTTTCTTTTGTAAATACCGTTATAAATTCTTTGACTTGATATTTATAATTTTTTCGAGTTCAGTAGTAAATAATGGCTAAACGTAAAGGAAATTTTCTTTGTTTCATTCTTTTTGTAATTGTTTATTTCAATTTATTCCAGTTTTTAATGTGCAGTGTAATGAATATAAACGTTTCAGGTGATGAAAATTAATTTTAATGTTATTTCTAA